GCCTAAAATAGCATTATAGCTTAAAATTTACCTTCTGAATTACATACAAGAAAACCACAGCAGTTATTTTTGACCGAAGAAACGCACAAAATGTGTCATTGGTAATTTCGAGACCGAAAATCTTAAGCTGCTTATCAGCAGCAGAGAACGAGAGTTGCCGCCGCTTCATATAGTGGTTTCCTGTTCCTAATTAGCCATTTTACAATTTGAGAGCCATGTGAATATGTGTGTGGTATTTAACAAGATGCACTAGCTGCGCGTCTCTCGCTTTTCTAGACGGGCCTCTTTTTTTCTTTCACACACACAACAGAGCATCTCGCCAGACGGCGGCTGTGCTGAATGCAGAAAACAAATTCCGTCTCGCTCCGGCAAAGTGTTTGCAAAACGGAATAAAAAGCGAGCGCAGCCGTGCAAATTCCTTTTTGATCGTTCCCAAACCCGTTTGAGAAACTCTAGCCGCGCTGCCGTTTCAATGGAGCCAATAATACATATAAAGCGTACGCCCCTAAAAACGATGCATTTAAAATGCTGGATGTGTGAGAAAGTTTTCGCCGAGCAGCCGCTCTCTCGCCGGTGCTGCGCTGGTTCCTTCTGCAAACGCGTGTAAAAAAGCGCGCGAAAATATTGAGGTCATTCGTGTGCGACGTGTTGTTAGCACCAGGCGACTTTGAAATAAAAAATCAAATTATATTGTACAGCATTAAAAATTCTGTTTTCCCTGATTTTTCAATCCAAATTACATTCAAATGATTCCTGCCTTGGAAATTTAATTTCAACTATGAAACTAATTTTTAACCAAGCTCAAATTTTGAATGAACAAAATTGAGTTAAATGCCCCCTTAAAAAGTAAAATGGTCTCAAGTTTGCAAAAAAAAAAAAAAAATCCATCATACGAACAAAAGTAAAAAGCAGTCAATCAACCACAGCATCGCTTGCTGCCTTCAACACGAATTAATAAAATGCTGTGTCGCTTTAAAGTCAACTTGCACAAAGAGAAACGGCATTGTCGCGGATCAGCAACAAACAGCATAACCAATAATGATTTTAAATTCAACACTGCGTGACGCATTTTAAATTTTGCGACGCACGCAAAGAACGTGTGCCTATTGTTTCTAGCTGCTAAAATTCTCCTTTCATGTATAACTATAAGTTTGAGTGTAAATAGAATAGCCGCTAGTAGAATACTGACTAAAGAAATAACCATAACTACTAGATTTTAAATTTGCATATATTTGATAAAAAAAACCGTTTCTAACATTCATCGAGTTATATTTAGATATTTAAGCTGCACTCTTGCTCACCCTCTTCCAGCATTGTATTTAAATATAATTATTTAATTGATGCTTTAAAATAAAATAAAAAACCGCCCTAAATTAAAATTATTCAACTATTTTAAATTAAACTATTAAATATAGTAATAATTTATTATCATTTAAAAAAAAGAAATTATTATAATTATTTAACACATTCAAAATATTTTCATAATAAAATATTTGTGAAATTATAATGTTTGTTTTGTTAACATAAGTTTTTACTATTGTTTAATCAAGCAATAAAATTAGTTTGATGAGTCCAGGATGGCAAAATTATTTCACTTAAATAGCCGCGAATGATGCACATTAAAAATGAAATTGCAGACGAAAACGTTGCTCTTTACATTTTGGTGTGCGTGAAGAATCAAATGCGTCGCAGACATAAACCTTTTGTGCTCACACACGCCAGCTTTTTTATCCATTATACGTGCATAAAGTAATACACGTGAAATAGCTCAGCGGTCGTAAAAATTTCATACACTCGTAGAGCACCTTTTGCTCAATTATGAGCCCACTTTAGAAAAGATTGGTGACGACTTTTATGACTTTTTAAGAATTTCCCAGCCTCCCTATTGAGAGAGAGTCGATTAAACAAACAATATATATCTCAGGGCAGAAAAGCGGAGCAGTTGTCGTTGTGGCGGACAAAAATTTTGTCTCCGCAAAGGCACAATGCGTTTATGATTGCGTTTTATGTGCGTCTGTGTAGTGACACGCAGGGAATAATTCGGTAATTCAGCAAACAATACTCGGGATAATTTTGTTCCGAAGAAGGAGAGCGCGCGTGCAGCCAGCGGACAAAAAGAGCCAGGGACCGACGCGCAGCCTTCAAGAAAGCAGATGTTTTTTCTCGGGGTGACACAAGAAAAGCTGCTGCCGCTTTTCATTCTATTCAAATTCCCAAAGCCACCGCCCCTCTCGCTTCCCCTTTCCAGTATGCAACCTGGCCGAGCTATTTTTTTTCGCTCACCCTCCTCCTTAGACTTAATTCTCTCTTTCCTCCGAGAAATATATTGCGTGTATTTGGAGTAGCTTGGGCCATTGTTGTGTGTTGGGGCCATCCCTGCCTGCTTCTTCTCCCCCCGCGGCCCCGCGGCCTTTACCTATGCATCTGCTTCTTACGTTACCACCTGTCCCATACAAAAGTTCTTCTTAACTACTACTATGAATTACGTCTGATAGCGTCACCTTTTTATTCATAACAACGCGACCAAGCACGCTCCAAGCCCGGCTTCTTTCTTTTGACGGCCGCCCGAGACGCTATGCTTTTTTCTGCCCGCTTTTCCAGATTGAGCCACTCCAAAGATGATTTGCAATAAAAACCACCCCTGTCTCTTACGCTGTTGTCGGCGGTTTTTGTGTATTAAATTACGCCCGCGGGCCTCTCCATGCCGAGGTGCAATTTTGTTGCCACTTAATTTGCCATTAGCCGGCGTAACCCGAGTATGTCACAAACTCTCGGCGGCTTTTTCTCAAAAGCAGGAATCGATACGCGTTTTTAAATAGGGAAATCTAAGACCAGTTGTTGCGCAACCTACTAAGATTCATCCGATATAATAAAAAGTTTAGATTTTCTTCTTATTTGTATTAGGTCATAAGAGTAAAAAAAAAAATTGAAAGCTTGTTGACGTATTTAGTAAATAAATTTCTTAATTTTTTGAAAAAAAAAATACAAGTAATTTTAAAATTATATGCTTTCATTTATTTTTAAACTACTGAATTATCTATATCGATCTATATTATCTAATTTTACTTTCTTCCCATGTATATCATTTATTATTATATTATTTTTTTTTTCATACAATACATACCCAGTAGTTCAAGCTGGTCGGCGAGTTCATAAAAGTTTAAAAAGTCCATCTTACTTTTCTAGAAGACGCCAAGCAAAAACACACGTACAGCAGGCAACCTGGGGAGCAGCTGTGTTGTATCGTTGCCTACTTACAGGTAACCCCCCTTACAAATAGGCAATGTGTAACACACGCACAACTGCCTTGGAGCGATTTTTCAAACTGCAACCGGCGACTTGCAACCGTTGCTTGAATTTTCAATTGATTCGCTCGTAGAATTTAAATTAAACATTTGGTTGATTTCTTTGTGATGAATTTTACTTTACTAATGATGTTCATATTTAAAGTTGTCTTTTTTATAATTAAAATTAAATTTGAAAAAATTACTCTCATAATAAACATGTGTGTTTGCATTAATTTCATCATCTGCCAATATATCAGTTGCACTAATACACTTTTCCGGCTCGGCACTGACAGATTAGCCGCTATTTCCTGTCTGCATGCATAAAAAAATGCCCGACTTCAGCTCAAAACTTTTATTATACATGACTACTTTTTGCACTGCGCGAAATATAAAAGTCCAGAATGCTCAGCGCGCTTCGTTATGCAGAGCAACTGTTTTTCTGCCGCCGCCGGGGATTAAATGTCGAGTTCTCAGCATTTGCATGTGCAGCGCCTGTTTTTGTTTTGCACAACATAAAATTTTTCGGCGCTACCCGTACAGGGGATTCGGGCATCCATGTGTGGTTTTTATTACAGTTGATTGGAAATTTAAAAAAATATACATATAGTAAATAAAAATTCAAGTTATTTTCAATGTTATTTATTTCAACACAGAAAAACATCTTGATTATTTTCAAATTAATCTAAGAAGTTATATTTCTGAGAAAACAAATTTTTAAATTTAAAAAAAAATCTTTTTCCTGCATGCTTGTGCTGTTCAATTGAAGATAATAAATGTCTGCTAAAGTATTGATTCTTAATTTTAATTTAATTAGCATAGCAAAAAATGTCTTAATTGCTTAAGAGGAAATAAAAATTTCACTTCAGTTACAGCTATTTTTTTATAGTTTTTACAACTTTTGTTAATTTATATGTTATTTTACAGTCATTAGCGAAACATTTTTTTAAATGAATCAATAAATCATTTTTATTAGAAAAAAAACTTATTTGTGTTCGACAAAACTTAAAAAATTTTTATATTAATTTATTAGTAGGAATTTTATGAATATTTTCTTCTACTTTTTAATTTTTATATTATTAAATATTTATTTTTTACTATATCTATATATTTTTACTTGATCTTGCTGAAGTTGGAACAAAATAGTTACCTTTTTGGCACTTTTTAGTGTTATTGTTTCCATTGTGAATTATACGTAAGACAACAGGTGGTTAAATGCTGGTTCGAGTCAGCGAGCCGCCACTCGATGCTTTTTGTCTTCCGTCGTGGAAATGGCCCGTTGAGAGCAGCGGAGCAATAATTATTTTAGCACTGAATACTATTTACATAACTTACAAGTGATTTTGAGCTCGCATTAAGGCCGCCTTGTAATTTATCTAGATGCCGAGACGATTACGTCAAATCAGTGCTGCATCTCATTAGCCCGGAAATGATTTGTGTTTTTAGAGCACTTAATCATTTCTGAATTTTAGTATGCCTAAAAAATATAATTTGAGCCACATATTCAGATAATAATTGAACAAAGTTGAGTTATCTGGTCCAGCAGGAAAACCCTTGACTGCCGAGATAAGGAGTTTTGCGGTTTTCCATCCGTCCAATGAAATGAGTCGAGGAAAGCATCCAACTCCTTTTTCCTGCATCGCTCACTCACAAATCGAAAACGTGAAAATTTTATTTTCCTTGTTCCTATCAAACATCTCAATTCAAATCAAATAATGTTATTTAGTCAATTGTACGGCGAAAAAGTGCATCACAAATTATTATATACATTTTTCTTCTTCTTCATTTAACAGCTGGCGCGCTTTAATGCTGCCAGCCAAGCCAGGGGGGTAAATCAGCTTCGGCTCTTTTTTGTGCTCGCGTCGTGATCTTTGGCCTCTTTTGGGAGTCGGATACACGGAAAGAAAATCCGACGCGTATGTATTCATCCCTGCAGCCATGCATCCACATCCCCAGAACAACGGAGGAGGGGTGGGGGAGAAATCACTCCGCAGGGGGTAAGATTTTCCCGTTTTTTAATAAAGGGATGCAGAGGAGAGACATATAAAGAAGGAAGACGAGCAGCCAGAGGTGCATTCAAATAATGTTTCTCTTATATGTATACTTTTATGGATTGCAACTGTCAGTAGTAAAGTCTCTTGCAGTCTCAATTTCGGACATGTTCCTTGCCTATAAAACGAGACTCGGCGCAATAAAAGTACATAATGAGACGATGTAATGGCCCTGTTCGGCGCGCCAAGGGTGTCGCTGCCAAAAGGCATTCAGGTCCGCGAGCCGGCCTCGCGCGACTGAATGGTGATTTAACCGCATAATTTCACCCTCTTCACCGGCGAGTGACGTGTCGCTCGAGCAGACAGACGCCGGCTTTATGGCACCATCAAAACGGGCAATTGCTTGCCAATGATTACTTTGTGCATGGGAAACTAATTGGAAGTGAATGGAACGAGTGTCGTCAAATGAATAGTAAATAAATAGATGACTCCCTTTGATACTAAAATGATTTTTTAAAGATGGAATGGGAAATGAGTATAGGAATTTAATTTAAATTATTTTATTGCAGTAAAATTTAAATTGGAAGAAAAAATTCTCAAAAATGAAGCAAAAATATATCTATATCTATTTTTCGTAATATTTTTTTTTTCTCAAAACCTAGTGCAATTCAAGACTCTTACAATTGTTTAGTAATATATAGAATTAATACATATGCATAAATTTTTATGCGAGATTCGATTCAACGCCTTGTTCTTGTTTTTTAAGCTCTAATCTTTGATCGAAACATTTAAGCCTGGCCCTGACTGTCAAAGTCCCGAAACCAAAGCACGGTTGTCGGCAGCCCATAGCGTGTGAATAAATTTTCACTTTTTAAAAACAGCAGTTGTTCGCCATCATCCGCGCACAGAGGCAGATGGACTGCGTCAGTGAATCAGGGAGGAAAGAGGGAATTAATTTTGCATTTTACTTGCGACGGCTCGATGCTGATAAGCGGGCGCTCATTGTGAATACGCAATTTATAATGCTCAGGAAAGTATTGTGAACAAGTCTTAACTTGTAGGAGTTTGTTGTAAACCAAAAGCGATATAAAAACTGGTGATAATTAAAATTTCATAAAGTGGATGAAAAATAAACACAACAATTTAATTTAAAAATCATAATTTTTTTTTAAATCTATTAATGACATCAGAATGGCATCAGCGCCTTCACAAAATTACATTTTATTATTGTTATGCAAAAAGTACATTTTTTTAAAATTAACTTTCATCGGGAATTTCAAATAATTTTGTCTATAATATGGATAAATTGGGAAAAAAGGATTTCTCAACAAAAAATTATATCTGAAATATTGATCTATAGAATGTTCTGATTGTGTTGTTTATTTTTATTTTTTGACGAAATCCAAACAAATCATAAATACTTATGGCACCTTCAGGGGTGTTTTTCATACAGCAGATCGATCATTAAGATGGTGATGAAGAATTAACAGACAATTTTCTCTCTTTTTCACGCCAAGCGATGGGCAAACATCGGCCCAGTGGAGGGCGATGTGTATATTAATGCCCGGAGCCCAAAGTCGTAAAATGCATATTTTATGCGCCTCGAATGCAAATCGTGTGCGGGCTGCGAGTTAAAACGCTTCGGGGCTGCAACTCGAGGAAGGATTAGGAAAAAAAGTTAAGGTATCGGCGCCGACAATCTGATGGTAGCCGCGATGGGCCATTGGTGTCGCGCACCTTGCGCTCGCTGCTGGGAAAAAAGAAACACCTTGCGTGCTTAATTACGGACGCGAGGAGCATAAGGCCTGCGCGCGAGAGTCCAGATGAGGTCAGTCGCTGAAGACATCTGCGGCCGCCGTAATTACGCCCTTAACCCCTTGAGTTGGAATAATATAAGAATAAGGCGTTCGCGCCAAGCACATGGCGCGCGCGTTTGTTTGGTTGCGTCATTTTCACATTATTCCGCTAACCACGTGCTTTTTATTATTGTTGTCATGCGAGTTCAGCGCTCGGCTCAGGTGGAGCGAGCGGGCAATCAAAATAATAACACAGGAAATGATGCTTCGACTCTTGTTTACTTTGACTTCTGCCGAGTTTTCCGCCTCGGCTTCTGCGACTTTCAGAAAGTTTGTGCGATCGCGCCCACAGATAATGAAATTAGCGCTAATGCGGCCGCTTTTGTCGTTAGGGAGATTAGTGGTTAATAATGATTAATGACTGCGCCTGCTTACAAGATTTTTTTTCATCAAATTATTAAATATTAATTAAGTTAAATTTAAATGTGAAAAAAAAACGCAGTCTAGATCCTGTTTTATCAGGAAATAAATTCATTAATGCATAGATAATTTTCAACATTAAAAAATACAAATAAATATAAAACTTTATTTTTGTTTCCTCTTTAATACGATTTTTCAAAAAGGTCATATCAGAGTTCCAGGAAATTTGGCAAGAATATGCCCTTTATACAGATTTCTCTATAATTGAACTTTATCATCATATTTTTTTTAAATTATTTTTTCTTATAAAATTAGGAAGTGAGTAAATTAAATCAAGTAGCGTTTTGAAAATTTAATAAATATCCATTCTTTTTTTTAAATGCTTCGAAATTTAGTAAATTTCTCATTTTTTTTTATTCAATATGACTTTACAACTAAAAAATTTAGAGTTCGTTGTAACAATTGTTCGTGAACGGTGGCACTCCCTGCAAAAATTAAAAGTCAGCAGGTGCAATTAATGTGTTGAGCACAACGTGAAATTCGCTGACGAGCATAAGGAAACGCGCACTTTTCCCCGAACAATTTTTTGGCTGAGGAAACATGCATCGTTTGCCTGCGAATTTATAAAACTCTGCGTAATAACTTTAATAAGAGTACAAGTTCACCTGCAGATGCGACAAAAAAAAAGTTTATATCATTCGCAAGCAAAATAATGAAGCGTCCTTAGCTCAGCTATTATTGTTATATTGCATTGCTGATTGAGACTTTCAATATAAAATATGTTTTTGCCGACAAAAATTTTGTAAATGTGGAGTTTAAGAGGTTCTATTAAATAATCATAAAAATTTTATGAACGGGTTTAAAAGTCTAAATTTTCAATATGTAATGCAAAAAAATGATTTAAAATGTCTGAATGTAGGTATAATTCAGTGGTGCAAAGAATGGATGGTTAAAACTTTTATTTTAAAATTATGCTTTTAAAGAGATTAATCTTATAAAGAAATTTTTGTGTTTCATTTTTCACTTCATTTCCATGTTTTTGGTAATAGAGTTGAGAAAAATCAAATATCCTGCCGCAAAAAAGTATTTTAAATGTCTGATAATTTCAAAGAATATTTGCGTCTGGGCTATAAATTTTCGTACTCTCTTTACTTCATTCAGCAATTCAGAAAATGATTAAACCTCACTCAGTTGTGTTTTACAAATTTTCAATTGGCTATTTATATTAAAGGCATAATTTTGTGCTGGATTACTCTTTAAAATTACTGTTAAAGGGGAAAATATTAGGGTTTATTATATATTGTTCAATCCTGGTTCTAACTAACAATCAGACCTTTCAACCCTCTACTTGTTAATCATTAAATGTGTAATTTTATAAAAATAAAAATTTTTAAAAGAAACGTAATTCCACGGAAAGAAATTATCAAGGAAATATTTTCCTACGTCCAGGTGCGGGTCTGAATCGAAAGGTAAACAAACAAGCGCGGCAGCCGCACGCTTACGTCTTGGAATTTTAAACTTTAAATGGGTGGTTGCCAGCTTTTGATATCAAAAGGTGCACCACCACTTTTATTGCGCGTCGCTATTATCCCTGAGGGTTTTCTTCGAGGAGGACAGCCGCGCGTACGCGCACAGGACAACAAAAAGCGGCGGCGAATTTAGCCAGGGAGGGACGCTCGTAGGCCAGCGTGCGTCGTCTTACAAAACACGCGCGCCGCATCTTTTGACTCAAGAGAGAAAAAAATAGCGGCAGCTGCCGCCGAAGACGCTTTGGGTAATTTTCTTAAGTCTCTGCCGCTCTGCGAGAGAATCATTATATTATATTTTTCTGTGTATACCTGAGAGATAAAGGCGAGTGAAAAAGAGGCAGGTGGCACGCGACTCTTACACAAGACGCCGCAACAAGACGAAGCTTGACCACGGCGCAAAAAATTCTCTCTGTTTTGACATGTGTGATATTCTTCCCCCCGGAATTATTATTCTTCTTCAGGACTCGACGAATATGACAGTTTGATGAATTGTGAGAAGCAGACAGGAATTAGTCGCAGGCAGAAAGGGTTATAATTTGTTAATGCAAATAGAGTGGACGCGTAGAGCGCGCATTGTGGTCTCGTTCGGCAAAAAGCGAATCGGAAAGAAATAAAGAAAGAGAGAAAGAAAGGGTGGCTCTAACCAGTACGGCAGATGTTGCACCCAAAGTTTTATGACCCCTCCGGTGGTAATAAGACAGTTTCCGTGGGGCCCTCATTGGCACTCATCCCCGTAATTTATTTGCAGGCTCGTTCTTCTTCTTCTCTCGGCGCAACTCTCTCTTCAAATGCTACTTAGCGCATGTCAGAGGTTTTATTCCGTCCGAGTTTCATTTCGGACCGACCCTCTTGTGAGAGGGTAATGGACTGCTCTTGAACTTGATGTGAATTCAATTCGCTTTAACCCTTAAGATTGCGAGCGAAAAAAAATCTACGCACGTATAATTTGGCTATTGGAGTGGGCCTCCGAAGGGTGGAATTGTAATATTATTTTTACAAACTAGTACAGAATATCTAACAAAGGCACTGGCTGGAAAATATATAAAAATAAACTTCATTTACCAAAGAAATTAATTAAATTTAATTTTTAGAAAAATTGTGTTAGAAATCAATTTATTTTTTTACAAGAATACATCAAAATTAATCTTCTATTGATATTCTATAGTTCGAGTTTTTTTTTTTTTTTTTTTTTTTTAAATTGTTTTCCAAAATCTTGAATAAATTGTTTTTTATTCTTTAACCATCTGGTAGGTTGAATTAACAAGACCCAGTTAAATAATTGCTTAATTTTTTTTTTATAAATTACACTTCCGTCTTACATTTTGACTTCATTAATTTTCCTAATTGAATTTCAATTTGATTAAATATTTTTCTCTCAGCCATAAATTTTCAGCTGCATTTTTCCTATAGCAACGAATAATAGCTCATTCTTTAAATGGACTCTAAATTGTATATTTAGAAAAAAAATTGTAATTAAATCTCATTCTCCAGGACTGCAGGTGAATACAATTCTTTTCCCCGACCGCTCCCATTATGGGTCAGGTCACGCTAGCGTCGTATTAAAAATTCTCCTTGAAATTTCTCAGGCACGTGTCAGCAATAAAATTACGAATTCCGCTGTTCTCCGAAAAAATATAGAAACTGGCTTTGGAAACATCCTGTTGATTACAGGATTGTGAATTCAATGAGTATCGAGTTCGCGACTAACTATCAGTATAAGTCTTGTCTTTCGTCGAGAGTCAATTTTCTGCCGGCTTTGCGGGAAATGAGGTTCTTTGGCACAAAAAGATGAGTCGCAGTTCCCATGCAATGCAGGCTCCCGCGTGTTGCTAAGCAGTGAACGGCACGTGTGGCGTTCGAGCGCATTTTCGTATAGGGAACACCTGCCTTCTCCCGTTCCGATTCCAAACACCAGAGGCAGCACAATGTTATAACTGCAAATTCACTGAACTAGCAAAAATAATATTTTCCTAAGCTATTTTTATAAGATTGAAAGAAAAGGAAAATTGTTAATTAATTACAAAAAAATTATGCTTCAAGGTTTCTATTGAAATACTTCTTTTATCGCTCATGGTAATAAATAATTTATTTTATTTATTACCAAATTTATTAATTTTATTTAATTAACTGTCAAAAATAAAAACATTTCATTTATTAATAAATATTATAAAAATTTAATATTATATTATTTAATTGAATTAAATCTATTATTATATACACCTATTATTCTTACTATTAATATTTTAATTTTACTCAAAAGAAGAGGAAATATTTATTTATTAATAATTTTTCCTTAGTTTATATTGGTTTATATTAAATAAATATTTTAGTCACCAAATTACTTAGTATTTCAGCATTTGACTCTAATCGGGGTTGCCCTCGTGCAGGCCTCTTTGCCGAGCAAATTTTTGAACTGCTCGCGGTGCTGCTGATCGATTTCACAACACTCGAGCACCAGCTGCTCGGGCTTCTCTCTCTCTCTCTGTTCAAGAATAGCGCTAATGCGTAAGTCAGTGCGGGCTGACTATTCAGTTGCGAGTGTTTTGTTGCCTTTTGAGAGAGGTTAATCAATTGAAAAAGCCGCAGTGTGTCAATGGCCGAATCCATGTAATCCAATTATCGAATTAATGCACCTTCAGCTGCCAGTGCGGCTTTTGCTCGGTAACTTAGAAACTTTGCAATCCCATCGTAAGTTTCAACCTGCTAATCACTGCTAATTTTCTGTTTGGTTGTATTGAATTAAGCTTTAAAGCTATAGAAATTTTGTTTCATATTGATTATTTTAAATTATTTAGAATTTAGAACCCTAAGTTTGCATATAGCTATAAAAGTAGCCTTAAGATGATTCTTAAAATCAGTGGTTATTTTTTATCTATTCAATACAAAAATTTAATTTTGTTTTAGGAACTGCTCACTTAATTAGGAAAGCCTTCTTCTCAAGCACAACTCGGCTCAATTTATTCTGCACATTAAGGCTTGTTCACTACAATTTATTTTGCACCTTAATTAAAAATATGATCATGATTTTACAGGATGGCTCAAAACACTTCCATCATATTTCAAGGCCAGTTAGATAGGTACAATGGCATCACTATCGATTCCACTAAGGAGATTTGCCAGAGCACTGAGAGCTTTACTGAAAAACTGAAAGGTTTGATGCAATTAAATAATATATTAGAAAATATCTTGACTTACTTCATTTTTTTCCAGCTTCGTTAAATTTTTGGATAGAACAAAGAGAAATTCGAGGAGTTTGGTTCCAGGTAGCTTTGAAAAATGCTGACTGGGTACCAATTTTGGCTCAGGTAAATTAATTTAATTTTTTAATCGCCTTAAATATTTTGATTTATGCAACCTGCTTTCCAATCAAGCAGTGCAGGTTGCATACCTAACACGTTTTATTTCTTTTTCTTCACCTTGCAGTGAATCTAATTCGAATCTGAATTTTTACAGCATGAATTTTGTTTTCATCACGCTAAGCCGGAAGCAGTGACGATGTGCCGCTGGCTACCAAAAAATGAACCTTGCAATATACCAAGCTATGCTCACACCATGGTAGGTGTCGGAGGTCTTGTTGTAGATTCAAAAAATCGACTCTTGGTGGTTAAAGAGCGATTTTGGCAAACTCCTAGTTGGAAACTACCAGGTGGATTTTTAGAATCTGGTAAGTTCAATAACGTAATGGTAATTAAATTATGCTTTGGTGTTAAATAATCCTGAAAATAATTTATTAGTATTGAAATATTGAATTAATAATTTTCTTGCTTGTTAATTATTTATATTTTTTAAAGCAATTTTATAAAAATTATTTGTTTAGGACGCATTTTTTATTATTTTTTTTCTAACAAAAAAAAATGTGATTAGGTGAAGATATGGGCAGCGCTGCGATAAGAGAAGTATTCGAGGAGACTGGCATTTTGACCGAATTTAACTCCATTGTTGCCTTACGACATCACCATGCCTCCCAATTTGGATGCTCAGACATTTACATAATTGTGCACTTATCCCCTATGGTGGAGGACCAACCCATTCAGCAATGCAATCAAGAAATTACTGAATGCTGCTGGATGAAAGTAAGAACATTAAAAAAAGATGTTCAAAAAAGTAAATTAATCAAATATTCTCAGATCGAAGAATTTCTTGTGCATCCTGAAGCTCACGATCACAACCGATTTTTTGTGAGAAAGTATCTGGAAAATGCAAAACGAGGCACTGCCATGACTGCGTCCAAGTCGAAGCACCCTATTTTTAAGAACACGCAGACAATTTACACTATTAACTGCGAATCGTCTGTGTGATGTATTGTATGTTGACATTCCATGAAAGATGTATGCATGCGAAATTATGAAAATTTTTCAGCTTTAAATTTTTTTGAAAGAAATGAATAATGATCAAGAACAAAAAATTAATTGGAAGTAGATTTTTCCTCATATTATCATTACGTGCTATGAAGAATAAAAATTAATTTAAAGAAGTTACACATGTTTTATTTATATTTTATGTAATTAGTAAAGAAGGAATGATAATTGAAATGAAAATGCAGCAAATAATATATTAAGTAAATAGAAGGCCCATTTAATTCAATATAAAATAAATTAAAATTGGAATTATGGAACTATTAAAAATAATAAATAAATTTTGAGCTCTGTATGTAGCAGTTGATATACTGGTACATGCATTTAATAGCCTCCGCAGCGTGAATTGCGTTCAATTCTGCGCATTTTCCCAAAAATCAATTTTGCTCTGTGAGTTCTAGAAATTTCGGACGGACTCGAACATTTCAAACTTTTGGCGCTTCTGTTGGCAGCAGCCAATCAAAACACGACCGCGGCCATGTTTTTTGTTCCTATTCGCTGCAACAACGCCCGACAGAGGGAGCGCATCGCCATTTATCGAAAATAATAACTTTTCTCGGCCAGCTGCCTACATTACAAGGGTTGTAATTTTCGCAATTTTCAAGCAATTCTTCGGCTGTCAACGGACTTAAATCGCAGGAACGCATCCGAAATGAGCAGCAGTGTCGATCTGACGTTAGATTCGCCCGTGGACGAAAGTATCAGCTTGATTTTGGAGGACGCGATTTTGCCCATAGGTAAGAAGGTCATGTTTTTTCAGCCCCCCTGATTATGTAATCGCGGTCGACGCTCAAGAGTCCCGGCAGTCTTGACAGTTGCGCGTGCTATGCTCAATTATTTGCTGCCGGGATCTGTTTTTTTTTTTTTATCATTTTACGATAAAATGCGATGTGGTCTTATTTTGGCGATCAACTGCATTTTGCGCCTTTTGATTGGACGCGAGAGGCGTGCGTCCTTGAAACGACTTGTCGTGTGGAAAATCTCAACCAATGTCTCTTTGCATTGTTATCAAATTATTCGCGATTAGTGAACTTCGTATTTAGCCGAGAGGGAGAAGGCTTAATATTTGAAAACCCAGGATATGTTTGATGTATATAAAAATTATAAAAAAATGGAAAGCTTGCATTGAAGTCTTTTACGGTAAAATTGCCTCATAAACAATATAAGGCATAATTATTGTTGACGTTTGCTTAAGGAATAGAAAGCATGTTGGAGATCATTTTTTAATTACCTGCAACTGGATATTTTAGTTTCTGTTATTCAAAATTTTACTCTTACTCTGTTTCTCGCCAGATCAAAATCTCCTTCAATTCGGAAAATAATAGTTGAAAATTTTTAAATTTGCTCTTTAGAAGATTATTTTTTTTTTGTTAATTCTGGTGAATAAAAATATCAGTTTATTCCAAGACCTTAACAGACCTTAATAACTTAAGTTGTTTCCCAAATCATGGAAACTGCGAGAGAACTGAAGGGTTTGGATTTCACAATTTAAATGCAGTAATTTGAACTTCATGAAAATTAAATTTTGTGGAAAATGTACATTTTCTACTTACTTTCTAAAAATTAATTCATTTAATAGTTGATTTTCTTTGCATGAAATTATGAGCAATGCAGGTCTGAGAGCCAATTATTTTGGAAAAAAAATTTATTCCGATTTTTTTTTTTTTTTTTTTTTGTAAAAAATATCCTTCATGAAAGATGTAAGACGTATCAGATTAATAAGATTTGTGCTTAAATCGAATTGTTTTTAAGAAGTCCGAAGTTCTGCTTTTCTGTCTACTATAAATGAACCAATCGTTGGGCGTGAACATGGAAGACCTATAAACTGTAAGGATAAAATAAACTCGATCCGCTTATGTGCTTTGCCAAATTAAGAATTCAAGAAAATCGACATTTCTCCTGTCTTTTCTATAAATATTGGTAAAAAAAAGCCAAATCAATGCTAATTTTTAATGTTAACTGAGCCTATCCGTCAAGCGGCTGCTTTCAGTAATTAGGTCTCTGCGGTGTTGGCTAACGACGCATTTATAATAAAATGGCCACAGGTTGGAAAGTACCTTTGGTCAGGACCAAACGTCAGGTGGCATGCAACGTGACTTCTGACGCTCGATACCGCTTTTATGCTTGAATAAAGTAGCATGGTTGGGTGGGCTAACGATTAGCAAGCCAAACTCGTTCTCGAGAAGATAAATTATTTGTTGATTTTTGCCTTTCAAGCTCAACTGGCTTAAGTGGGTATAAATAAAATTCCTTGTCCCTCCCCCTCTCAACAGTCTCAACTGCAGTTTTTTTTTGCATTTTTTTAACTTAAAATAAATTAAAAATTCAAACCGCATTTTTTTTTCTTTTCAACATTTAAACTTTTTATTTTATGCTCTTTAATTCATTAATCGTTGACTTAATAACTAACCTTTGTGGCTGAAGGGTAAAAGCCAATTTAAATTATCGATCGTAAATTATAATTATATCCTACAAATACATTTCTATCTTGATTATCTTCGTTGAAAGTATGTCTTCAGTTCGGTTAGAGGATTTTTTTTTTTTAAAGAAAATTAAAAAAAAATTAAATTGATGAAATTGATATAAAATTGTATTATGAGAAAATTAAGAATGGTCAAATTTTTGTATTTTTTCCTTGCAATTTTCAAATGAGACTCGCTAAAACAAAGATAATATTCTCTCCAATATAAGCCGCGATAAGAAGCCGTGGGTACCACGTCTGATAAGTAATTTTTACGTGAGTTAAATAATTAATGCAATATTAATTCCTGATTTTTACCGCATGCAGCACAGTGCCGACAAAATTCAGCGAATTTAATGGGATAGAATTGCAATAAAATTTTTCACTGCCTCCCTGCACATTTTTAAAATTTAATCACGGCTTAGTTTTGTTATGATATTTGGCATCTGTCCTGAGCACTCCAAAGAAGCGTCAGAACAGCGTTTGCATTTCGATCAGTTGCAAAAATCTAGATTTGGCACACACGTTGCGCTTGTGTTTATGCCGTGTGGCGTTTCAGGCGGCAGCAGCGTGTCTTTCAACGTGACCGTATAAATGAGATGCTTGCAGACCGCACCTCTCTCGCAGAGTGCTTTCTGTGACTCAGTTAGTCATTTGGCAAATTGTCGAGATTGTTTTTACAACGTAAAAATTTCAACACATCTCATTTTCGTATTTAAAAGACAATAATTATTTCTTTTTGCATTATTCCCTTTAAATTTTATTTTAAAATAATATTTCTTTATTCAGGATCCTGAAATTCCATCAATATTATGCAGGCCTAGCAATATTTTTAAATAAACTGGAAAAATGCTCATTACAATTATATTTTTTAATTATTAAGAAATCTATGAAATTGATCAAGAAATAAAGAATTTTTCAATTATTTTTCTGAAACACAGTTTCCATTTTAAGCGACTTTAAGAAGTAAATTATTTAGCTTCACTATATTTTAATTTAATGTTTAAATAAAAATATATGTAAAATTAAATAAAAAGTAGTGTTAAATTTTTTTCTGATTTGAGGGGAGGGATTAATTATGCCAGATTTGTGTTGTAACCAAAGCAGAACCAAAGTGGAAAAATCTGTCGCTTTAACAAGATGCCCTTGAGACTATATTATTATAGTTAAGAACTCCAGCGCTCACTTCTTAATTTGCAACTTTTCGTGTTTCATTTTAAATCAGGCTCACTTAAATCTGTGTTTTTAACTCGATTTATTAATATTACTGATTTCCATTAGTTGACTCCACTTTCAAATAATAAATTTGACTTTATAAACGAATTTTGCAATTCAATCGATCTGCAAGTTTCGGATAAAATTTCACATTCGTGTCCGGCACTCGTCCCCCCTCTTCTGGTGGTCATGTGACACCCCGATTACACGACGTCCGTCCTCCTGTTTCACTTCAATATCACCAACTTTGCCCAATTCCGTTCAACACACACAATTTGTGTGGCACTTTTTTGGAGTCCTCCGTTTGTTTGCAGAACCGCTCGTAGATGTTGACTCTCTGTTTTGTTGTCCTTCGGGATCCTACTTCTGTTTAGAGCGTCCTCTTGATTTTCATATTTCCAGCCTTCCAACAAATTTGCAAGTTTTTATTAACTCATATTTAAACCACTTCCGTCTTTTTAGTGGATAATTGAATTAAAAGTAAATATTACTCTATCGTTTTTTACCAATACATTCCTAACCGTTTATTTTATTCTAAATTAAAAAATTAATCGTAATGTTAATATTTGATGGAAATATATCGAACATTCTTAAGGTGTATTCAGTGACCGCCCCGACATTATATTAGTCTTTGGCCGCAAACAATGATATCTCACCCGCGGGGCCAATAATCAAGTGAATGTTCTAGGAGGCCCCAAAGTTTATCAGCTTGACAAACACACTCTTGCCGCTGTCAGCAACGAGTGTGCGCTGCTCGATATTTATGAGCTGATTACATAATCATTCAACTCCTTTACTTGATAGAGACGAGTCTATTATTACTTATATTTTTTAATCTAAAGAGTCAATCGCAAACGCCAATTTGCAGATTTGTTCGGAAATGGAGGAAATTCCAGATATTAGGCACCAGTTGAATCAGTTGGCTCAGCTTCTGATGATGGATACCCCTTTGCCCTCAGTGAACACCATCCATCAAAGTCATGGTATTTTCCCTCAAAGAGCCCGAATATTTGAACAATTATGAAAAAAAAATGTTGCAAAAAAAATATTTTTATGGTGTTTAAAAACTAAAAATTTTGTTTCAGCCAAATTTGGTGACAAGTGCAAGGATGATTCTGGCGACGAATGGTCAAACTTTGAGGCACAAGCAGCATTCCTGGGACCCAACATCTGGGACAAAGGGTCAGGCCTGGAGGCAGAACTGAATCTTGGTGACCAGGTAAAAAATGTTTGTGACAACTTTCATATTTTTTCTATCAAATTCTCACATTTGAAGCTATCTTTTTGCTGATGGCTTTTTTAAATTTAATAATTACGTATTTTGACAAATAACATTTTTATTTGATTTTTTATTAACCCTTGCAGTATGTTGATCTGGACGAATTTTTGAATTCATCTTGCATCGATCCCAACAGGCAAGATTCTGTGTCTCCGTCAAAGTCAGAAGGTGAGAATTAGTTATTCAATAATTAATGAAACTATAATTCTTTGAACTGGAATCCTTAAGGTGGCCAATCATCCTCTTCTTCAAAATCGAGTGAACAAGAGCAAGAGCAAGATGCAGCACAAGAAAATGATGATCAGAGCATCAAAGATGAGGAAATGTCAGAGCCACCCTCCCCTGCTGCATCAAGTGAGTTTGTATTTATTATTATATCTTAGAAATTCATATAAATAATTGGAAAAAAACAATATTTAACAATGTTAAATAAATATTGATTAAATAATCATGAATGTGGTTATATAACAGCATCTTGTCTCATTCTTAGCTTGCTCTTCAGAGGATTCCGATGATTCGTACCACCCTCCGGCATCAAATAAGAGGACACGAAGGTCCAATGTTGACTACCGCAAGAAGAGGTTGGCTGATGATGATTTGAAGCCATTGCCCATGGTGAAGAAATCGCGCAAGCAGTTTGTACCTGACGACTTGAAAGACGACAGATACTGGGCACGTAGGCGCAAGAACAACATGGCTGCAAAAAGGTCCAGGGACGCTCGTCGTGCCAAGGAGAACCAGATTGTCGTTAGAGCTAGTTTTCTGGAGCAACAGGTACTTTTTATTTTTTGTTTGAAATTTTGTTTTGAAAAACTGATTTTGTGTGTCGCAGAATGCTGATTTGAAGACGGAGAATGAGAAGCTGAAGAGCGAGAACAAGAAACTAAAAGCCGAGTTGGCAAAGTATAAAAAGTAAAGGCCAGGTTCTAATGAGCAGAGTGTGCTGTAGTTTTCGATCGTGATCAAAATGTTGGAAATTAAACCAGATTTTAAAACTCCTCGTAACTGTTAACATGGTGATGGGCAACCAGTATAAATTCCATTCCCTCGTAAAATTTTTTGCCTGAAATTGAAATAGCTTTACATACTTACTCTCTCCAACTATAAAAAGTCCTTTCGAGGTAGGCTGCTAAAACTGGTCACTATTTACACACAAGCTGTAATTTACTCTTAAATGTAACGATGTACTATGCATGGTGCACTATCTGTACAGCAGCAATGTTTGCTGAACGCTTCGTGTTTGCAGTCGAGCATGTTGAAAATCTATGGTTGTGTTATGAGAAAAGTTTTGCGCTTTGCTGAAGTACATGAATATAAACCATATGTCTTTTTGATCTTCTAACGTTTGACAATGGCCAACCATTACAACACTACTTCACTGTCTGATTCGTACAAATTTCCATGCCAATTTATCCGACACCGAGCCGATTTTGTCGGTTAAGAAATAACACACTTATTTTGCAACATTGGTCATGGATCTTTTATTTCAATGAAATGATTACAAGTTAAAAGTCAACTGAATCAATCTATTTTGTATTCTTGTCTATGCAATATGCTCTGCAAAATAGAATGTTGATATGTTAAGGAAAAACAAGTATTTGTAAATAAATTTGAAAAAAAGTATCATTTATAAAGAAAGGAAAATAGGTTCTTCACAGAAGTGTTGGCTCCAAAGATGTATTTTGGAAAGAAATAAAAGATATTTGAGTATGAAAATAATCTATTATATAAAGGTTGATTTTGCTTTTTATTCAATGAGTTAATCCACATTCAAACTTCAAACTGTCTTGTGCGCTTTGATGCAGTGCCACGACCAAAAAAAATCGATTCTCCTGTTGAAACATTGATTGGACTTGTGGAGCTCTACCGTGGATCCTCGGAACTAAAATATAGACCTCCAGAGTTAGTTCCTGTGTCGGCCGTGCACGTGTCCAGTTTGCAGCGCCAGTAACAAGGAAATAAAAAAAGAGTTGCTCCTATTACTCAATAACTAAGTCCAGTTGGTTTGCTAATCTATCGCCAACGAACGGTCTGGCCAGCTTTACTTTTTAATTTGAATGAAAGCGTTAATAGGCTTCAGGGGCAAACTCTATGTATATATCAGGAAATTTGATTAAATTAAAATGAACTTTATTCGTATTAAATTTTATTTCAACAATCATTGAACATTATATTTTCATATTTCTTCAATTACGATGAGTGATGAATTTTCACTGCCTTCATAGGAGAGAGAAAAAGACTGGCCACTTTTTGAATCAGGGTGAGCCCTAGTCCCCCTCCTACGCTTGGCAATGAGCAAAATTTCAAATTCTTCTTTCGGAATCCAGTGAATGCAGCAGGTAAGCGCCTACTTCATCAGTCCAAGTGAGTTTCGAGTGGAGTCGATGCCCTCAGAAAAGCCTGCGAACAAAGAAAGAAGTAAAAAAAGACTAGGAAGCAGTTCGTCTCCCGAGAGCAGAGCAGGTGTTTCTCGTCGCCAAGAGAGAGGAAAGAAAAACTAAAATCCATTAATTCACTAGTCAGCCAAAGTCAAACACCACCTGCCTTTAAAAACCAAAAGGGTTAACTCTGAGAAGGAAAAACGGTTAGAAAAGAATCAAACTTTTGAAGTATAAATTATTGAAAAATACAATGAGATTAATTCCAATGGTCAAAATAGAGTTAAATTTGAAAAGTCTAGTTAAATTTTGAGTCAATTTGAGCAAATAATCACCTAAGTGGGGAGCTCAGCCGAGTTGCTGGCGTCGCGTTTGGCATCCGTGCGTCGACTGAGGAACCGCCGCTGCTAGCTGCGAGAAAGAGGTCAACGACCGACCCAGCCCCTCGCGAGCGCACGTGTAGCACTCTCACTATGTACTGCGGCACAGCAGCCTGCCCCTCTTCCTGCGCTCACCCCCGCCGCTGCCCAGACTTACAACTGGAATCCGATTCTCTCTAGCGTGCCAAGGGCGTCCTGCATCCAAATTACCCGCCATGTATAATATACCTGGCTGCACCCTCGATCGACGCGGAAAACCCGGAAAAAGCGCACCGAGAAACAAACTCCGACGGGCAGTTTCAAGATGAGCGTTATAAGATCCGACAATTAGTGGCGGCTCTTCAGATCATATTCCTCCCATCCAATTAGTTTCGATGGAACCATGGAACTGTTAAAAAAAATCAAAATGAAAAAAATATAAGTAATCTAGAATCCTTAAGTACAAATTTCAGAATTTATTGCTAACAATTTAGTCGCCTTTGAAAATAATAAAAAAGAAAAGCTCTTTTAATCGTTGCATCAAATTTTTAATTTTAAGAATTTACCGGAATTTACCAAAAATTAGAAGAAAAAACATGAATTCAAAAAAAATTAAACTAAAATTTTTTACATTTTAAGAAGTTATTTTTATAAAAATATAAAACATTATGGTATAAAATATTTTTCAAAAAAATCAAAAAATAAATTCATAGCTTTTTTTTATAAATTTGCACATTTTAAATTTTTACTTTAATAATCAAGAAACTGCAAATTTTTAGCACTTGTAATGCATTTCGAACCAGGATTTAGGGCGTTTTTAGAATTCCTTCCGAAAGTGCACGTTCGAAGCACAGTTGGTCGTTATCGACCGCAAAGCGAGACGGGCGCGTTTTATTGAACGAAGAATAACTACTAACGTATGCTGGGTGGAAGAAAAAAAGAGGCGCGTTGCGAAACACAACCCAACAGTCTGCGACGTGCAAATATGTGTGCCGCGAGTGAGAGAAAGAAAGACGAGTTGGTGCGAGCCGAGCGAAGTAATAAAAGTTCTCAGTCTGGAGAAAAATGGCGGCCGCCGCGATTATTAGCGGAAAACTGGCCGACCACGTGCGAGCGGCAAAAACCAAGCTCAGTGGCCGTTGCCTCGGCTAAATTTAGGGCGAATCGGGCCAAACACGGCGGCCTCGATTCTCTTCGCGGCTCACGGACAAAAAAACGTTGAAAGATCGGCCCTGAGGGACAAAATTAACTCGGCAAAAACTGGGTTGATCAACACGTGTCAAGTCGGAGGAATTCGGTACTTTTTCGAGCAAATCGCAGTTCATTTGAAAGAAATTGAATTAAAATTGGTTGAAGTTATTAAGAATTTAATTAAATTGAAGGAAATTGTGAAGGAATTTTATTTGAAAGTGTATAACTTCCGGTTCCAGTAAACCAGTCGGCCACAACGAGGTCGACGAAATCTTTGGAATTTCGGGCAGAATTTCAGATCTGGCCGACAGGGAGTTTTGAAAAATTTAAACTGAGGGTCTTCTGGGGCTAAAGAGGGACATTGGGAAGGAATTTGAAGGGATACTACCTGCTGAATTATGGACGACGCGGCCTTCCGTCATGTCAGGCCGGTGCTGAAAGCTGAAATAAAAAATGGTGAGGCGATGCGGGAGTTGAGGCGGGAAGAGCGGCAGCAGAATTGGCGACGACAGCGCCTCTGCCGGTCTCTCTATGATGGCCAAAGGCGCGATTTTATTGTTACCACGCGCGTGCACGACCGCGTTCGATCCAACCTAGGAAACGGGAAGAAGACACGCACGTGTACAATGAAAGTGGCCAGGAAATTTGAAAAATATCACATAAATGCATAGCAGGGGGAATTTTACAACTTGCTACAGGGCGTGGTAAATACGGTGCATTTTGAATAAATTTAAATATATACGTGAATTAATTATTTTTTTAGAGATTTTTTACTAGCATTATGAGAGAGATCAACTTAGCACTTACCTTTAAAGAATATATTTATTCCATAATTTTGACTTTTAATTAAAAAGCTACAATAATATTTAATTACTCATTTATAATTAAACAGCATGCAAGGCCAACTGATAATTTATTTTAGAACGTCGGCATTATTCTATTTTTGACTGTCCTTAAATTTCATGAATTTTAAATTCAATGGGGGTGCTTAAAAAAATCATTATTACTCCCAGCTGAGCGCTGTGGAAGCGAAGTATAATTAGTAGAAATCATGACGATAAACTATTATGTATTTATTTTTAACTTCAGAATTCTGAGCGGAGAGATTTTTTTCGTTTCTCTGTTTCAAACGAAAAATTACGAAGAGAAAAACAAGCTTTTACTAGTAGATAATATTTATTAAGTTTGAAAAACACAGCAATACCAAAAATAATAATTTTAATATATTAAAAATAATACTATTTAATCAAATATAATTTGTGTAATTAACTATTCAATGAAAAATGCTTGTAACGAGTGGAGAATAAATAATTATAATTACCAAATATATGGATATGAAATCCTAAAATTATTTTTTTGTGCTTCTGTGAATATTCTTTGACAGAAAACAAAAATTTATTTGCCGTATCCTAAAGAATTTAAACAATGATTACATCAAATTTTGAAAAGTTTTCAGTATTATTGAATAATTTTTAAAATTAAGTACATTTTTAAATTCAAAGTTTTGCATTTTTATATTTTCTGCATCAATCTCATTGATATATAAACAGGGTGAAGCAATATTTTAAAATAATTGAAACAGAACAATAATTGTTTATGTTTTTATACAAGATACAAAGCATAATAGAAATATTTAAAAAAGGTCAAAAATAAATTTTCATGAAAAAATTATTATATAAATTTCTTCGGTATTAATTTTAATTGTACTAGATAATTTTGCCGGAGTTCCACAGAAAAAGCAATTCTAAAAAATTTAAACTGTTGCAAAATAATATCAATATTGAAGTGAATGAGGATTATAAAAGTTCAGAAAATTCACTTTACTATAATTACTTTAATCCTTGTTTCGATTGTAGTCACACCAAGCGATAATTTTAATTCAAAATAGAAAATATCTTATTTATATCCTATTAAAAAGTTCATAAAATTCCAAACAAAATATAAATCCAGCAGTTTCTAAAAAATTGCATAATTTATTTAAATTCAATAAAACCTAAGCTGATTGCTAAAAAAATCATTTTATTGAATTGGCAAAAGAGGCCAGTATAGCAGTACGGAGAGGAGTAGCTGAAAGGGAAAATTGGCAAAGTGGCGCAGCGAGTCGATAGCCGACCGTCTGCACCTGCGGGTGCATGTACGTAATGTATTTGGCCCAACGTACGGCACCACCGAACGAAGCTAGAGTGGAATGGATGGAGCCCTGTGTGGCGGTACTTTGGCTGGCTTCGGTCGGAGCGCGCGGGGTTATTGACCGACCTCAGCAGGCAGACGGCAACAGCACGAGAGAGAGGCAGGCGGGCGGGGTCAATGAAATGTCTCCAAGGAGAAAGTGCTGCATGTAATAATGCAGGCTGGATGAGGGGAAGAGAGAAAGAGCGACTCTCTATAGTCGCACACACCGCGCCGTTTTATGGATTTTCCCGTTCGACGAGAGCGAGCTGCATGGCAACACACAATGGGAAATAATATATATAAAATAATAACCGAAGCAGAGGGATCTACACACATGACACACATGAACAAAAGCTGCCTCATTTGCTGACAGTTCGAACCTGGGCAATGTCAATGCGAAGGCTCAGCTGCCGAGCGTGCTTGCAATTATTTATAAATACATTGCGCCTCTCTTTAATTGCTGCATGTTGCAAATCGTCCCGTCTCAGGACGTCAAAAGGCAGCAGACAGCTCGACAGCTGCTGGCCAACTGCGATTATGATCTAAATTATTAAAAAATATTTTTCCTCCCTGAAACAAGGAAAGAACTTAAAAAAACTACATCCTGCTTCTCTATATTATGTAATAAAACTTTATCTTAAAATTAACATTATAAAATAAAAATGTATATTCACATATAAAGTTAAATTTTTGAAAATTAATATTCTTTTAATTGCTGGAATTTTTTAAACTATTTCTAAAAATTACTTTTGCAATATTACATCTTATTTCAATAATATAATTTATAAAAATTTACTTTCTTTGATTTCTATAAATATTAACATTTTAATTCAGATAGTAGGCTCTTTTATATATTGCTTCTCATTTCTCAAGTCCAATTTCTACTTCCTGGATTACTTAGTTTTTTATGTTCGTGTGAGCACACAGAGCTGTTTTCTGGATTCTATTCCAGCTCTCCACGTGCGCACCATTCCAAATGCTGGGTCATTGACTCCTTTCCTAGCTGATGGATGGCACTATGAATGCCTCAGTTGTTCTTTCTCTCTTCAGCCACGTCAAAATTTTATTACTGCTTCTCAACGGCTACTTGATATTTTAAAGCGTGACAAGCTCAAATATAAAATAAAATACCATCCAAGTGCAGATAAAACTGATGTCTGATTTGTTTTATTTTCTTTGCAATTACAATAACAGAACGCAATTTCATGATTTTTCTTTAAACATTTTTTTTTTGGAAAATTATATAACAATTTAATCTTGATTTTGAAGTTTTGTTTTTAAATAAATAACATTCATAACTTCAGTGAACAATTTGCTTTATCCTGGAGTAGGCCATGTAAATTAATTGAACCACCGACAAATCCCTTTCGTTTAATTAGCAAATAGTTAATGTGTCTTTAAAAATCCACCAAGGGACGCAATTTAAATATTCACAATATCAGGTTACAAATAATTAAGCCCATCATAAATATTATTCGAGTTAATTACAGTTGGTAGGGCGATTGGATTATAAAATAAGGAAGCATACATATCTGGATGCAAGTTTGCAGATTCACGGTCTTCAGATTCTTTAATTATTTGTCGGTTTACACGGAGAATTATGTATTCACAATCAATATAAAGTTTGGCACGGTTTTGTCAGCAGTTGTGGCAAAACAGCAGACATTGTAATTTTAAATGGTGCTTTCCAGTTTTCAATATGACCAAGCTGCAAATTTTGTGCTATTAATTCCGCATCACAAAGCAGGCATTTCTTGCCATTTTGAAAAAAAAATCAATTTTTGACTTCTCTTATTACGACGGTAAAAATATCATCTCTTTATGTGGTCCTCTCAAATGATAAAATTTTAAAATTCTCACTTGCTTACTTAATTAAAAAACTAGCGTATAACTCAACCACATCTCATTTCTCACTTGTCGGCGTTTTACAATTTAATAATTGATTAGTGCCTCGGCTTTCCTTTTTCTTCTTTGCATGAAAGCTAACTGATGGAGCAGAAGAAATATGACAGAGGAGTGAAAAACGAGATGGAGGCGCACCTCTATGTGGGGGCATCAGGGTTTTGGGTTGGATCACCCTCGTTATCTTGCAGAAGCAACTGCTGTTGTGGCGGTGGAGCCACCAAGTCAACATCAACCGTGGCAGCAGGGGGTAGATCAATCGCTGGATCGGCCGTGGCCTCCGCAAGGTTCGTCACAGACTTTGACTTGACACACTGGAGAGTTGCAAAATAATTAGAAAAAGCACTCGGGGCAAAACAAAATGTTTTAAATGTAACCAATAAGGTAGTGACATATCGTCGGTTACACGGACAAATGGCCACTCACAACAATGTTTAAGCAATGAAAAACATTGTAGCTATTTTCCCGCGTAGCAAACGATAAGCACAACAAAAGTAGTCATTACAATTTTTTATTAGCAAATTAAAATGTTTTGATAAATTTTTGCTTCTAACCTGGAAATCAACATGTCTACTCTTTGCTTCCTCCTTCTCCCAACTCATGTGGATAAAAGGTCTCTGAACGTAATTATATATAACCTCAGATCTTCCACCCGGTCTCCTCTTGACCTAAACATAAAATATGGATCACTCAAAAAAGCCAAATTTTATCTCCAATCAAACCTTCTCTTTATAGGTGGGGTAGCCCTCGATTCCCAGTCTAATTTTCTTTAAACCTCTCTCCTTCAACACTTGCTTGGCGACATCTCGATTTTCGATGTATTTAAAGAACCGGTACATGGCAGTACTATTGACAGCTGAAAAAGTACATAAATATATGGTATTTCTCCATAAAATTTGTAACAGCTTACTCTGACAATACTCCTCTCCCATCTGTGGTGGAAACTTTTCGTCCCAGTCAACAAAATCATCGTCGAGGAGAATCACAACATGGCACTCTCTGTCACCTCTGCGGGCACTAGCAACCATTAAAGGAAGCACTAACTCCTCCAGGAATTTCTCCATTTGAGCTCGGGCACCTTCGTTGCTCAATTCGTGTAGCAGTCCTCCTGAAAAATGACATAAATAAATAAATTTGAATACAAGATTAAGACACTAGATGTTGAATTTTGAGGAATCGAGCATCTTAAATTATTAATTTTCATGGTAGAAACTCACGTAGGTTCTGGCATTTCACAGTGCTAGCATCAAATGGAACAAGGAGGTAGTCACAAGCCTCTCGAAGCTCTTGGACCGACACAGTTGGCGGGCAGCGAATAACACCATGGTGGTAATAATCTAAGATGGAGCGGAATACTGTGGCACTCATCCCTTCAGCCACCTCGTACTCGCCACGCTCATTAGGCCTCACAAACTCTATGCCAGATGTGAACATCCTGAAGCAAATGAGACACATACATTTTATATTTTTTGTAGCGAAGGGTTCATCAAAAATTTTAATGTAATAATATTCTCTATTCACTGATTCTGTTTATATGGGGTTATAAAGCTAGTTAGAAAATATCTCTCTAGTGTCATTAATTTTAGAATGGGAAAACCTTGAGATTGATATCTCAAAAGGAGAGTTGAGAACAAAAGCTTTGTTTGCTATTTAATGATTATTTGACCATCCAGCATCTTGATAACATTTTACAGATATGATTCATGAAAATTAATGTTCTTGAGTCTGCGTCAATTTACAGACTCCTTACCTAATCCTTGATTGTTACATAATATAAAAGAAAAAAAAATTCAAATCGTCACCTTCCAAGCATTGTATTAGGTTGGGCAGTGAAGAGGGCAGGGTCAACCACAAATCTGGTGCTATCCACGACCAGGACAAGTCTGTCATCATTTAAGCATAGGCCGGTAGTGCTTGAAGCCGCAGCACCCGCCTCGCTCCCGGACTGCATGTACTCCAGTTTGGCTAGCTGCTGTCTGGGGGACCTGAACAAAACGCCCTTGAGTGAAATGTTTCAGTGAGATTTCAGATCCTTCTCACCTGGACCAGGTAGAGCTCTTGAAGCATCTGCGTCTGCCCTCATCCGAGTCTGTTTCCGAGCTGCTATCTCTGCTAGTGTAGTTGCTGCTGTTGTAGCGAGTATCTTTTAGGCCTGACATCATCTGCAGAGCAAACAAACCCTTTTGCAAATGTTGCGCACACAAAGAAATTGGGAAATGTCATGCGGAAATAGTGCGTCTGCACTTTTACCGCCGAGTGAGCGCATCTCGAGATACTCACGGGCTAATTATCATCGACGGTCACATGAGGACGGTCTTGTTAAACAAATTATTAAGGGTTTTTGTGCGAATCACGCGTGAAATACGAGAAAATTTGGGTAAAAGTTGTGCAGATATTTTTGACAATAGATTTCAACGACCTTGTACATTTGCCATTGTTGCCAACCATTCATCTCTAACAAAAGTTATCATTGGCATTTTTCATGTTTAATTTTCACAATCACACTCCAGATCCTCCAGATAATTTCCTTAAAAAAATTAAATTTCTTACAACAATTATTAATTTTATATTCAGATTTTTTATTCCATTGGTCAAAAATGAAATTGCAGAGCCTGAAATGAGAATCTTTAATTATTTATCATGTTGGCATCACTAGAAAATAGACAAGATTTCTCTCGTCCTATTGGTTGATTACGGGATTTTTAATGGCGTCTACAATCACGTGACTTTCGGTGACTTCATCGACAGCAAACAGGGAAAAGAACACAACCCAACCCACCACAAAGTTGCCGCTTCCGCCTCTGATAGACCCTGACACTCAAATTCATTTATCATTTATTCTTCTAACAGAGCTCAAGCCCTTGTCACTTCTCTCGTAGCCTTATCAGCGCATTCATCAAGCATCAAAATGACCCAGCACATTACCGACAAGGTACAATTTTTGCAGAAGAATTGATATTCAAAGTTTCCTTGACCTGTTTATTTATGGCGTCAAAAAGCAGCTAGGCAGTACTAATAATCGATTGTTGACAACCCTCTCGCCCTAAACTAATCAATCCGGTCTCACCAATTCCCATAAAATAATTTATACATCATACATAATTTTTTAGTGCCGCTGTTTAAATCTTTTAATGCTTAATTAATACCTCCAATTCTAGTAAGACTTTATTTCATGGTGTTCAATCGTGAAACATTTTTATAACATTTGTTTATTCTATGACGTTGATAATTTCCTTGATTATGTAATGAATAAAATCAATTTAATTATCTCATATGATGTGAATCTGACTTTATTTTATTATCATAACTTTGAATTTCAGAGCGACTTTAATAAGAAGCTGGATGAAGCTGGCTCGAAGTTAGTCATTGTAGATTTTCACGCAACTTGGTGTGGCCCTTGCAAGATGATTGCCCCTCTTCTTGAGGTGCGTATTTTGTGTATGCAGAGACAAACACGCCCTTTTTAAGCACAAGGAAAATAATATTTCCCGTTATATACACAACAACAAATATCGTAAATTTTAAACTTAATTAGACACCCCGTTTTGATGAACATTTAAATTATAATTATTAATTTTTATTATTATAAAAAAGTAACAAAAGTCAATAATTCTGTAAGTTAAATACACTATTATTCCTTGTGGAAAATACAAAATTATCGGGAATATCAATAAAACCTCTGTGCTCAACCCAATCAGCAAGTTATTGTCAATATTCAACAATATTGACCTATAAACTTCAACAATAGGCAATAAATTTAATATTCAGAGTATTTAGATAATAAAATTTGCGATCATTTATGGGAGCAAATTCGAGGAAAGCGTTCTAATTGGGTACAATTTTATTAAATTTGTACGCTATAAGAGAGCTAAAACAACAATCAAATTATGATTCATCATTGCAATGTAGAACCTTGAACCTCTGATATTTTATTTAACTTCCCCTTCAGCAAATTTTATGGTTTGATGATGAATATTCCAAATATTGTCTTTTTTGTTGAAGCTTATGTGTTAATATTGGTAAATATTATTTAAATATTGTCAATAATATCTTGCTGATTGGGTGCGGGGAAGTATGATAGATGAACTGAATGATTAAATATGGGAAAATAAAATATTTGATTGAGTTAAGGGAGTTTGAGCAGTATAAAAGTATTTAAATTTGATCTTATTATCCATCAAGCATCACTGACGTCAATTTAAGTCCTGAAGTCCATACATTTTAACAATGAAACAGTTCTCTCTTTGATTACGTAAAGAGCAAAGAATGCAACACAATAAAAATTCTCACGACTTATTCTTTTTTTATTTTTAACAACAATAAATTTTTTCTCCGGAGGTATTCTTATATTTTCTCGTTGAATATTATAAACAAATAATCTTCCACTTGAATGTAAGTAGCAAGACTAATGCTAATAATGGTGATTTCGTCATGTTTTGAAAACACTAGTATTGATGAGAACTTCTGTAAATATTGGAAGAAACGGGAGTGTTTTTTTTATTTTTCCCACTTCTGTTTTATTTTATATTATAACAAAATTTTGGCAATTACTTTTTTTAGTAGCTAATCTAAATTTTTCTGTCCTAGACTCTGGCTGAGAATCCCAACCTGGTGGTCCTGAAGGTTGACGTTGACGAATGTGAAGACTTGGCTGCTGAGTACAACATCAGTGCCATGCCTACTTTCATTTTCATCAAGAACAAGGTCAAAGTCGACACCCTCACTGGGGCCAACCCTGATAAACTCAAAAATCTCGCTAACAGTTTACAGTAAAACTTCATCAGAACCTCTTAGGCTTCTTGTACTCAGCAAAGCCCACTGATTTAATTAATTATCTTACTTGTTACACAATATACACGATGAAAAAATTTGGGTCCTTCCACGGTGGAGTTTGTTAATTTGCACGAGGGTGTTTCAAACTACAAGTTCAGGAGAGAAAGTATGAGTTGGTGTGATTCATATAAAACTCTGCTGTTAACTTTCTATTCTTTGAAATAAAAACTCTTGAAATATTATATTATTACCACTTGTAAATCCATCAAGGTGCAAGAAGTTTTTTTCCGTAAATCTGAACTTATTTGATTGTTAACCACGAAAATAAAACTTTTTGGGATAAATAAATGTTTTTTTTTTTTTACTCAAATATTTAGAAGTATTGCAAATAAAAAAAATTCTAATGATATTCAATCCACAGAAAATTGTAAATCTTTGATGTAGTCATTTTTTTTTATTAACGTCTTCAAATTTCACCTTCATGTTGCCAGGTGGCATTTCGTTTCATCCCGCTAAAATAATTTAAAAAATTTTAAATCCCATTGGTCAAATTCAGCCAAGAGGAATCAATTTCGGCTTGAATCTCGCGCTCTTATTGGCTTTTTCTAGTTCTGACACTTTACCCGCGTGTTGAAGCCGCGAATCCGACTGCTGATTCAAATTTTAGCGCGAACCTTGGTCTGTTCGTCTGGTTTGTGAGATCAAAGGCTGTCCACTGCGATCTGCAGTGAATTTTGCAGATTTTGAGGCTAGTCTGGACGGTAAGGTCAAAAATTATATAAAATGTGAACTACTTAATCTTTTCCGCTGGAGTTTTGGCCTTCAAAATGCCCAAAATTTCGTTTACAGCGTTTTAACAGCCTCTGATTTGACAGGACTTTTTCGTTTCAGCGGAGCCATTTGTTTGTAACAGGTGATGGAGAACTACGTCAGGCTTGAAAAACTTGGAGAAGGTTTATTTATTGTCACTTTTCAATTGAGGTTCTGATGAATTGTTCTAGGAACTTATGGGGTGGTGTACAAGGCCAAAAACAAGCTGACAAATGAAATTGTGGCCTTGAAGAAAATAAGGTCGGAAGGTGACGACGAAGGTCTGCCGGCCACCGCCATCAGGGAAATTTCTTTGTTAAAAGAACTTGTGCATCCCTATATTGTGACGTAATTATGATTTTATAGTGTTTGCGAAAGGAAATAATTGTCTCTTTTACCTAGATTGCATGATGTTCTCATGGAGGAATCGTTGCTTCACCTGGTTTTTGAACACATGAGCATGGATTTGCGAAAATACGTTGACACGAAAGAAATGACCTCTGCCAAAATCAAATCTTTTCTGTACCAGGTTAAGAATCAACGTGCAGAATTAAGCCAAGAAATTTTATCTAAAAAGTGAACCTTTGCAGATGCTTGTTGCTATGCTCTTCTGTCACAAGAGGAGAGTATTGCACAGAGATCTGAAGCCCCAGAACCTGCTGGTCAGCCACGATGGACGGATCGTCAAGATTGCCGACTTTGGGCTGGGACGAGCTTTTGGAGTTCCACTCAGGGCATACACTCACGAGGTTGTTACTCTGTGGTACAGGGCTCCAGAAATTTTGCTTGGCAGCCAGAGATACTCCTGCCCGGTGGACATTTGGTCTATAGCATGTATTTTTGCCGAGATGGTGAACAAACGTCCACTCTTCCAAGGTGACTCAGAGATTGACCAAATTTTCCGCATCTTTAGGTAACAAACATCTGATCAATTTTATTCAATAATGAAAATAAAATGTAGGATTCTACAAACTCCGACGGAAGAAATTTGGCCAGGTGTCAGTGAGCTGCCTGATTATAAGGATTCTTTCCCTCAGTGGCACCAGAACAACCTGAAATCTGCTGTCCCGACCCTTGATCACAATGGATTGGATATTATGCAGGTAATTTCTCCGCCAGCTTATTTTCTAAGGATTTTTCTTATTTAAACAAATATCTTACAATTAGAAAATGCTCATTTACCACCCTGCTGAGAGGATGTCTGCTAAAGAGGCTGTCAAGCACCCCTATTTTGATGGACTAGACAAAAATTCTCTGCCTGCCATTGCTGACTGAAAGAGTTATACCCTTGCTCATCCTGTCTTTACTCTATTCCAATGTTCTTGTGTTCTCTTCATTGCCCTTTAAACAATTATAATTAATGCTTACAGATTAACTCTATCTCATTGATACTTGTAACCATATCTAAAAATTAATCATCCCTGAAGAAATTACCATACTCAAAGTATTTACGAAGAAAATAAAAGCTAGCTAATTATTATTTAATGAAATACCAGTTTTTATTCAGATTCTCTCAATCAACATTGTGTAGGTTTAAAAATCAACAGGGGCACATTTTCACACTACAACGTTATTTTAGTTATATCAGTAAGATGAACAGAAGTGGTCAATAAAAATACTGTTTGATTGAAAATTATCAAAAAGATCAAGTGGTCCAACTCAGTTTTCATATGAACGAATATAACATAATTCGCATGACATTTTTCTTATTAGAAATCAGGTGTGACTAGAGGGAAACCATTGAACTGATCCTCTCAACAATAAGTTAATAATGTTACTTACTGGCTCACAGCCCATGCAAAATTAAAACAATCATTGTGCGAGTTAAAAAATAATTAGGATTGGTCACGTCACGTTACAAATAAAAATTCAACATTCACTTTCCGAACACTTCATCTACACTTGGATTTCGTATTTTGTTACATTTCTAGATTTAAGTTTTATTATCTTGAAGGAATCTCATTTTGCAAGAGAATTATTCATGATCGTTATAGATAAATTATACATTGAATCTAAAGTAGCGGTAAAATGGATAATCAATACTGGAAGATCAAAGTGGAATGGTCTCAAGTTAAAATAAATTTTCAATCAAAATTATTACCGGAATTAAGTACAGCCGTTTGTAATAGGGCTGAAATATCAAATATAATTTCTTCAAGGGAAGGAAAGAGAGTCGAAAGTACCAACATTCTGTCCTAAAAGTTAAAACCAAGTTAGCCAAATAGCAAATTAACCATATCATTTTAGTAAAACAAATATTATGATCCTAATACATGAAAGATTTACTAAATGATTTACAGCACCCATGATAACTCTCTTTCCACGCTTAAGAAAATTCGAAATTAAATTCGTAAACTTTTCATCACATTTCGAGGCCTTATCTTGCAGCAAACTAAATAAATATTTCATTTTATCCTTGAGATGTGTGTGCAATAGCAAAGAGAGGTGCGTCTGGTTTCTTTAAACTTTCCTCTGACTAATCACACGTTGCAATTTATTCCCTGCTCAGCACCACAATCAACAGATCGGACAATTTTATAAAATGCCATGTGCAGGGTCACAAGTTGACTTTTCTCTGGGGAATGGATTTTGGTATTGGAATGCTGCTACTAGAGGTTCGAAGAAGCATCTCATTTGATGCGCTTTTTACGTTGTCGTTATTGTTGAGGGCAAGAATCGGCTTCTGCAGCTTTGGGCCGTCAAACGCCAACTTCTCCTGTTTGAGGTTCTCAGTCGAAGTGCTGAAATTTAATTGACATTAATCAAAACGAAAAGGACTTTGAAATGTGCATTACAAATATTTACACCTAAAGTTGCGGAGTGTGTTTGAGTGAGGAAAAAATAATGTGATGACAGACGTTGATAAATGGACGGAATGGAAAATAAAAAAGGTTTTTCTACTTTTCTAGAGCTGTCTGCAAAATTAATAAAACAGTCATAGATAGATATAGCATGATAGTTCACTGAGAAATTTGCCATTTGAAATAAATTATGTATTTAGCTGCGTAATCTGGCCAAAAGCAGAGAGTGAAGCAGAGCGATACTTTTGCAAAAGGAAAAAGCAGACCAATTAAAAAAAACAGTGCAGCTTTTAAAACTTACCCTATAGGTCTGCTTTGTCACCGTTAATCAAAATGCAGCGGTTAAAAATTATTCAATCAGAATCTTTTTACAAGAAGTATCAAGAAAAAAAGTGTTTGATGGGCTCTTGAAAAGGAATGTACCTAATGCTCGATTTGTCAAATGAGTGATTTAATAGGTTAGATGAGCCCACAACAAAACATGCACTCCAGTGAGAGCTGCCATTCCTAGAATGGCGTCTGTATTGCGTACCTGTCCTATCCTGAAGCTTCAATCAGCAGCAAAATGGAGGGAAAATCGCAGGTTAGTTTTTTTGTTTACATACTGGGTTAATGCATTATGTAAATTTTGTCAAGCGTCTTGAAAATTTAATTACCTGACTAGGGGGCCACTTCCATCAACAGGGGTGCTGTGTGACATTGTTGAGCCCATGGAGACGGGTCGAATCTAAAAGGAAAAAATCAACGAGATAAGTTTTAGATGAATAATAAGTATTAAATATTTAATGTACACACCCTTTCAGTTTGAGTGGCAACATTTGCCTTCTCAGCTGCATTGTCTGGAGCGCCCTCGACTCCACTGTATTTTGTCATTTGCTGTTGCAATAGGGAAATAGTCCTGTCTTTCTCGGTAAGCTGCTGTTTTAAGAAAATGACCTGCAAAGATTCAAACAAAAATCTTTAATAAAAAACATTGTTAACATGTTTATTCCACAATTAATAAGGTTTTTAATTTATATTCATACGACTTGAGTAGAATAAACAACAATAATAATAATTCAGAAACTTACTTGGCGCCTGAGATCTACATTCTCCTCCTCGGCAGTGCCATTCACATGATGCTCCTCCTTGTCAAAGCCATCGCTGTTGGCCAAATTGTAGTACATGCCACTTATCTGGAAGAAACAAAAATATGAAATATAGAGTTAAAAAAAGATCTTAATAAACTTACACTTAGTGAGGAGTCAAAGGGATTTCTGACATCCGCGTCTTGCAGGGTGCGCTTCAGCTTAAGTAAACCAGTCTTGAGGGAGAGGATGTCCTGAAGGATATTTTGGCCGGCCATCCATTCGCCATCGATTGAGCTCACTGATGAGCGAGGCGGCCTCAGGGGTGAGTTGTAAGATTGCCGGCCAACCTCCGAGTTGCTGGACGCCCTCGACCGCAGCGACGGCGGCGTCTGCTGGTGCGCCACTGGCTGCCCGCCACATCTGCAAATTTTCGGAAACAAAAAAATTAACTTCAAAAAAATTAAGAGGCAACAACACCATAAAAGAAAATTTAGGGGATTTTACAATAAAAATGAATGAATTAAAACTTAATTCAATATTCTGCACATGAATGGACATTTAACTATCTCCCATCCTTCCATGATTGGGGAATATTTTTAAAAAATAACAGCTGACAAATTTCTTATTATTTGATCCACCACAACAAGGATGCGACAACGACCGGGGAGAACGCAGCCATTGATTTCTCACGGCAGTGGTTTTGCGTGGTGAAGGCACAAGTAAAAAAAATTGCCGCGAGCAAGCTGAATAAAAAACCGCAGGCGAAAATTATCAATTTCATATATGACGCGGTCAACGTGATGTGGTGAGAAAATGAGGCTGCGAGAAATTGAAACGATTCAAAACAACAAACTTGTCCAGTGTAGTATGTTTCAGATTCCGGTTTTCATAACTTGGTTGAAAAATTTTATTCAAGTTTTAAGATGTTTTTTATCCATTCAAAAATTAATCTGCTCTCATGGAGAGAATAAAAAACTTTAACGTGCTTTTATTATTAGTTTTAATGAATGCCGAAGATTTTCTTGAAAGTTGCGTGCACTTTTAATTAAGGAAATGCCAGAGTAAATTTTCAAGGCCAACTTCCTGCAATCAGTTTTTGCATCTGCCTGCTGGAGAACAGGATGCAACGGAATCATCAAATCTTTGCGTGGAAAGCGAGTCGATAATTTTATATAATGAAATTGTCAGTCGATTCGCGCGTGTTGAGTTGTGAACTTTGAACCGGTGCACGACCTCCTCTCTAACTAATCGCGAGAAGAGAAAAGAGGAAGAAACGAGCCAAGGATGATGACGAACGAGCAGAGTGCGAGACAAAGGCACAAAAACCCACCGCGCTCCGCTGAGCAAGAAGCTACCGCCTGTGCACCTGCAGCCTTTTTACTGCTGGTGCCGCCAGAATAATTTCCCTGGCTGCAGATTAAAATTCTTTCCTGCTGCTACGCTAATGCTCTCAAAATTTACGGCCCGCGCACACCTCAAAATTAGGAAAATTGCGTGTTGAGTCCGGTAATTTTCACAATTGCCAGAGCCTCATTATATTTTGGTGCGCTCTGTTTGAATGAAACAAAAAAAGTGGTCATTTATAAGAAAAAATCTCGGCTTTAATTTTTTAGTCAAGTTACCCAAATTCTTGAAAATTAGATAATAAACGTCTTAAATAAATCTCAGACTTGTTTAATGTCTAAAGTTGACTAAATAATAATAAATATATGAAATATGAAATATATCTTAAATAATTGCTTCATATGAAAATTTTGTATCTATTTATGAATTTATATTAATAATTAGTGAGATTTTTTTTTATTGTAAATAATAAATTATCTCTATGATATTTTTGAACTTGAAACTAATATTTATAGCTTTGGACAAAAGAACCGCAGCCTTGGGTCAAGATTATTTGCGGCCGCGGAAAAACGTCGAACAATAATGCGATTAGCACCGAAGTGATTGGCCAAGTTGGTTTGCTGAGAGGGCGAACAATCGCCCAAATGCTCCACTTTGTTTACCAGCCTGTTTATTGCGCGTATCGTTTACTGTCAGTCCGGACAGTTGGAGCAATTGCATTCGCCGCCCACTGCAAAAGTGGCAGGCGTGCGACCTCAACCGAGTGTATAACAGTTAAATCCTCCCACAATTTGTTTCCAACAAAGAATGCTGACGGCTGAATAAATGATTTCTCCCAGGATAAATTTATGAAGTGCGCTTGGTAATTAAAACGAGACTTTTTCGCGGAGTCAAGAGACCTTATCGACAAGGAACGCGCGTCAGATGCGGAGATAGGCGGCCTATCAGTGACAGAATCGATTTAGAACCGAGTGCTGTGCTGACAGAGGAATGAGTCATTCGTTTGATCGCGTTGCAAAACAGTCGAGAGTGAATCAAGCAATTTAGCGGAAATTAAAACAATTTTAATCAGATTCGGAGATAAAAGGCGGTTTTCATCTTAAAATCAACCAAGCTAATCTGGAATAATATGATTAATAAGAATTTAAATATATGCGAATTTTAATCTATATGAAGAGATAAACGGAACAAATTATTTGTCGTACTAAAATCCAAAAATTGATATTTTCCATAGTCAATCATTTTTTTCTCCCTTTCTTGTCAGCTAACTTACAACAGCCCCAGAGACAAGGACATATCAGAAGCCATATATAAACTCATTGCCAGTGGAAGGATTTGAAGGCGTCAAACAATTTTTTTATGTAATTTTTACCGGGGGAGGCTGGACTGCAGTCTGGCGCCATTGACCACCCCGTTGGGAGGTGGCACCCTTCTGGGTATCCCTCTACCGCTGGAAGCCACTGTGGAGGTCTGCTGCCCATGCACCGCGAGAAACGACACTTCTACGGCTACGGCTCGCCCGCGACTGCTCTAAGTGCATCGAGTGAATTTTGCTCTCTCGGACGCGAGACCCCTTCTACCCGCGCACGCCGTGTTGTGTTGAAAAAAAGCGAGCGACCATAAACACGCTCTTTTCCCACACTGAACACATGGCCGACCTTCTCTCGAGTTTTGACTTGGGCCAAGTGTTGTATGGATATGGCTCGTTGTATTTCGCACAAATATTCCAGGAATTTTGTGAATTTGAATAAGAATTTTATTTTCCAAAAATGACAGCATTTTATTATGGCAATAAATTTTTAGTTTTTTAGTGGAAATATTGCAAAAAAAATTTAAACTATACTAAATATAATAACGATTTTCTTCATTTCCATGATCATCTCCTTGAGTGTCAACTTCTTCAAACAAATATGAAATATAAAGTTTAATAAAATTGTAATATTTTGCTTTCTTTACTATAATAACATCAATAAAATTTTTTAAGTAGGTTAATACAAATTTGATGATGATCATTAAGAGAGAAGTCGTGTCATTTATGTTAATAAAAACATTTATTTTTTTCCACAGTTGCTCTTTTACAATAGTCTCAATCTCAGATTTCTTTACGCAAATTTGAATAAAATTTGAAAATAACCGTGGCGAGCCCAATTCATATTTTCTGCAATCAAGTATATTTCCGTGATTTCAGCTAAATAAGGAAGTTCACAAAACAAATTGAATTTCATAATCTGATCTTCACTTCCATACTTTCTGATTTCAAGCGCAATGGACGAGCAACCGTGATCCACTGCGTTTTGCCGAGTGAGTCTCAATAATAAATAGCTTTCACTCTCCGCAAGAAGTCAGCCTTGGAGAAATCCACTCGTGCTTCGCCACATGGCGTTTGAATTTGGCAACAATTAAAAAAACGCACTGTTTGCCTAAATTCAATATGAAAAAATTGGTTTCAGCGCCCATGAATTCAACAGAGACTCAATCAACAGTACGCCGATTTGCTATTCAAGGGAATTGTTTGGGATGCAGTTTTAATGACTTTCCGCGGTTAGTTAGCGGTTAATTTTCACGCTTTCGTAGAAAAAAAAATATGCTAGACTTACGAATTTCCCATCGCCGACGGCTGACAACAATGCTATTCGCACAACCGCGCTTGATGACACATACATGCACTGCCACACATGCGAGCAGAGGCAGGCGAACTGGCACGCTGCTGCTTTGTGACCTCACTGCAGCCGCTCGGCCTACACAAATTTTGATTCCCCGCGCCGATTGCGGCAATGGAATTCACGAAGGCGTATTCCATCTGTCGAGAGCTATTCCGAATTTTTTTTCTACATTTCGTGACTTGGTGGCAAATTGTACTCGACCACATTTTACGAGCTAATTAGAGCTCGCACGGTGTTTTTTTTTTATGTCACAAGAGAGACAATGAAAATAAATAATGAGGAGCAACTAAAAACGCAATATGACTAATTGCTAGACTGTAGACTCACCCAATGCTGTTGAGACTAGTGACAGATCCGAGCATCACATTCCACTTGTTGATTATTTCTTCTGAGCCTGTTATTCCCGAACCCATTTCTGCTAGACGGCTGATGCTGACATTTCTAAAAAAAAATCAGGAAAAAATCAGAATAAAAAATTGATTCCATTACTGCAAACAGAGACAAAACTGAATGTTTTGATATTTTCCCCTAATTGAACTCTATTGGCAATTTATGATGAAAGTAATATAAATATTTTAAAATGTATTAATATTAAGTTCCAAGTGCAATTTATAAAATTAAAAAAAAAAATCAGTTAGATTGATTCAAATATTCACCTTGATGCAACACTATCTTCAAAATCCAGCATTAAATCATCAGAGGTAATACTTTCGCAGGGCGACAGGGTGCCAGTTGAGTTAGAGCGAATTCGGCGTGGTGTTGAATTAAAAGTACGGACAGGACTAGCTTGTGCTTCTCGACCGCCTTCTTCGCAACCAACTAGGAATTTCACAATTTTTATAATTATTTTAAATTACATATCAAAAACTGTCTACCTTGAATTGATGGAGGGGCGTCCAGAACCAAAGTGGACAAGTCTTGTGGAGGCGTGTTTTCATTTTCATTTGTGACCGACTCTTCGATATTATAGGTTTGCTCCTCTCCATTCAAAGTAATCTCCCCCATGAAAGTTGTGTCGTCCTTGTTAAACTGGGCCTCAGTTTCCTCTTCCTCCTCGCCATCAATGCAGTCTCCCTCATCTACTATATAATCCGTATCATCGTAATTGTTGTCATCAAAAGTCAACCCAGGCTGGTCTGCAATTTCATCATCTATGAGGAAGTTATCATCCGAGCCGTTGGACAACTGCGAGAGACTCGATCCAGACTTCTTTTTCTTCTGCTTTCCGTTTGGCTCAGACGAGGTGCTAGAAATGCTGCTGATCAAACTGTCTCCTGACTTGTCTGTGACGTTGTCTGGAAATTCAATCTGCTGCTCCTCGATGCCCTCGCTGTAGCTGCCACTGGACGAAACCTCGTCAGCAGCCGTTTCGGTCCACACAGGTATAGGGTAAGCCGGTGGCATTTTTTCTGAAAAGTTTTCATCAATGCAGGCCTTTTCTTCTCTCTCCTCCTCATCGAAGTCCTCTGAAATTGCAGTCGGCGCCCTCAACTCGTATCTTTCCCTCAGGTCAGTGGGCGAGTCGTCAGTGGCGCTCAAAGTGCCAATGCCGGAGGATTGGGATTTTCCCGAACCTGGTGACGAATCCGAGCTTTGGTTGACCATCATTTGGTTGGCCTCGGTTTTGGCTGACTTAGTGTTCGGGGGCCGCACCACAGGCTTGGCCACTACAGGCTTTGCGATGTTAGCTCCATTTTTCTTACCAGCAGAGGGTTGTTTCAATCCTTGCTGCTGCTTGGTTTTGGAGGAGGTTGCCTTTGGGCCCGGCAGTCGCGATTTGTGCTCCTTCGGTTTGGGTAGCAACGACTGCGGGGATTTGTTGACTTTGTTGACCTGCGCCGGTGGGTTGGTGGCGGTCACCGCCAGGGTGGACCTGTTGTTTTCCTCGAGTTTAGGTGCAGGCTCGTAATTCGCGTTGGTTGTCGTCGAATGTGAATGAGAATGGGGGACAGGATTGCAGTTGCCATCCATGCGGGAAGGTGAGTTATTTGTTACGATCTGCAAAAGAAATTAAAATTATTAGGAGAATTCATACATAATAATCATACTTTGGGAATTTTGCTTCTGACTGGCATTGTTGGTTCAAAAATTGAAAACTGGCTGAAATTTACATGTCCGCCTTGCATTTGACTTATCAGTGAATGTGTGTGATAACTTTTTATCAGAACTCAAAACAAAGCACATTTAACTGCTGTGATTTTGCCACCATTTTTAAATCGACCAATGAGACTAAAACAATACTGAATTAGTAAACAGATGAAAATTGCAAACAATTGTGTACATTTCAAACTGCAAAATATAATTAGCATACATCATTGCTTGAGGTCATCTTAATGGTAATAAAATTTCAATAAATAAAAATTACCAGCTTTAAAATTGTGGGGTAAAAACTTTACTAAATATCGTAAATTTCAACCTCAAATATTTAATTAACTTTCAGACCTTTTCAATGATTTTAAACTAAACCAAAGAAAAAAAAATCACTTAAATAATTTGGAATGCACACTAATGACACTGTACTTTGTATTAATAAAAAAATAGCTGCAAAATTGACGATTTGGACCATAGCCAGTTATGAATGGGAATCAATAATGAACACATCTGCAGAGAATAGGAAAATATCTTTCCGTCCCAATTCTAACCTGTGCATTAATGTTATTGAGGACGGCAGTGGCCCGCGGGCCAAGCTGGAATCCGAATCTGTTGGCCACGGGTGACGGCTTTGGTTTCGGCTCTGTGGGAGGTGTCGGTGGCACATGATGAGGTGAGCAATGGTATGAAGAGGTGGACACCGGCGCAGCCGGCGCCATGTCGGGCGCGGCGCGGCGCCTGAAGCCAAACGCAGTGAGCTGCATTGACGCGGCGCTTGCCACCCTGCTGTAGGGAGTTTTTCGAGATTGCGGAACGTTACAAGCTCGATCGGCCTGAAACAGAAAAAAAATTGCAAATAAATTTCAATTGTAGTAAAATGGCTGAAAAAAAACTAAAGGCTGCTCTTGTGTTAGAGCTGGGTATCGATTTTGGGGAGTAAACGGAGCGAGGCAATTCGCCTTGGCGGCGGCAAAGGGCATCAAATGGAAATGCCCGCCCTGCCCTTAGTAAATGTTCGAGGCGACAAGTTGTCTGTGTGCGATACAAAGAGCAATGGTGGTGCTCGCAATGAATGACTCAGAGGCTTTGATTGGTGCTGAAAATGGGTCGACGGAGTGCGATTTGATGAGTATTGAATGCGTAGCAGCGCATGAAATAAATCGGCGAGCACGTTTTAAGTGTCTCTACCGACGAAACGTGTTGGAATCGTAAATTAAAAATACATCAACAAGGCCATATTTGAGAAAACATATATTTGAGAATAAAATGAAAAATATGAGCTCAATGCTAATTTTAAAAATTTAAAAAAATATAATTTAATGAGGATGATCTAAAAGATTTAATTTTTATATAAGTAAAATAACTATAAATATTAATCACGTCCTTGAGTGCTCAAGAAAAAGGGTGCATTATGACGAGAGCTTCTCAATGATTAAAAAAATATCAATCTTATTTTTGTAATTTCTCCGCAGAAGAACTAATCAACTAAATAAACAGTATTAGGAATCAAACCAATGTTTTTGGAATAAGAACCTTTTTCGAAACCAGCTGATGTATCTACATCAGGTCTGAAAGATGTTCTTCCAGGTTCTAGCAAATCAGAAAGTTATGTACGATTTTTTTTTAATTTATAAAAAGCGGTTAATTATACAAATGTCCAAAACAAAAATAAAAAATTAATGAAATTCAAACTGCTTTCAGAGATAATTAAATAAATGTTAATTTTAAGAATATGGAATTTTCTTAATAGTTTTTAAAATAATATCTAATGCAAATAAGCTAGGATTTTTAATGAATTGTATCTTGTAATTTTCAATTGAAATTTGTTGCAGTTAACTTGTCCTTGGTACTGCTGCATTAATATAATTAAAGGTCAAATAACCCAGCAGATATCCATATATACAAACAAATGGTGAACAGATCGATAGCTTCCGAATCAAAGTTGCAAAACAAACAAACCGTCCCCAAAATTGCAAAATACCTCCCCTTACAGCAGGTCTGCCCTGGAAATTGAGCAAATTCCGAAAAATTCGCTCTTGTCAGCCCGTCAGTGATTCGTGAACTGCGCCTTTGCAATTGCACGAAGGGCTGTGGCACAATGGCGCACCGAGGGTGACTTTTGCTGGGGGTAGGCCCGAACGCGGGCCAGCTGACTTACGTTTGCGGCCGCCGTGGCCAGCAGCACGCTTGTGTAGTCCATGAGTAATTAGCTGAGAGTAATTCGGTCGCGAATCGCGGTGTTTCGGTGTTGTCTTTTCGGCGGGCCGATTTCGCAGCGGCACTGGCGAATCTTCGCCTCGCTAAGTCGATCGACGGCGCACTGTCACGTGACCCCCCGGAGAACCCTCTCCAGGTGGATCAATAGCGGGCGGGCCGAGGGCGCAGAATCGGCGGTGGCGGCGGCGCTCCGGCCTGCATTTTGCGACGGGAGATGTGAATGCATGTCGCTCGGTGCTCACTCTGGAGCGGCGGTGACGTAACCAGCACCAAATCGCCCCTCGCACATAACATTAGACGTAGTTGGGTGAATGGGTAATTAGTCGATCTAGCAAGGGCCCACACGACTGCGGCCAAGCGGAAAATCACGCGACTCGAGAGATAAAAGAACAATTTTCAAAAATCACATAAAAATATTTATGAAACGAAAATTGTAATTTATTTTGTAATAATAATTTTCAGTAAAATCAATGCTCATCAAGGACATCTGCATAATTTTTGTACAAAATATTAAAGTAGACGAAAATACGTGCAAATTTTAATATTTTCAAATGATATCAAAAAACGTTTCACAATGATATTCTCACTTCTCAAATAATGAAATAATTGAAGTCATAATTTAAATTTAACATGATACCAAATTTTGCCACTTTTCCAGCTTCAAAATTAATCTCCAAATAGCTAAAATTGGCCATGGTAAATAATAGAAAAAATAATTGTGCAATATAAAACTTTTTAAAAATATTTAATTTTTATTTATTTCAAGTAAAAAATAAATGAAAAATATTGGATTAATAAACAATTGTTTAAGATAAACTCCTAATTCATGGAATAAATTAAAAACAAATTGCAAATTTGGAAAAAAAAATATCAAGACAAAAACGTTAAAATTGAAATATTTTCAATAACATTCAGCTAAATAGAATTTGATTATTAATTTATAGGATGACTTTAGGCCAAATAACCATAAAGTAATGCCCTCTAGGGAAGGATTTTCCCGCAGAAGCTCGGCAAGAAAATTGACGTCACACGTGCATTTATGCAAGATCAATACCTGGGAGGAAAAGTGTCCGAAAATAAGCTTTTGATGGCCAGACGGACAACGTTCTTCCGTGGCTGATGTCGGGTGACTGAATAATTAATACGAACGCCAGAGATTGATCAGACAGTCGCCACTGCACGCCGTGTCGTAAGAGTTAAATACCGCAGGTGTGACTATTGTGTTCAAACCGAACTGGATCAATCTCTCAAGAGAGGAGTAACGAAATGAGAAAGCTTTGGAAATGACAAGGATGTGATTATTTACATAAAAAAACCAACAATATTTTGCAGTAAATAATTCAATGAAGTTGTCGAGAAACAAAAAATTTCTGAAAAAATTAATTAAATACATTTTAATTAAAAAAATAGCAAATTATGTATTAATTTAGTGCGATAGTCAATGATGAGAGATTACAGAGGGTGCTGTTGTGTAAACGAGTGGGGCGATTTGGTGCTAATTTTTGTGCCGACTTGAAAATTAAATCGCAAACCTTGACGGCGTGAGAGAATTAAAGACGCGGACTGCGCAACCGAGTTCACCGAGCACTGAGAAAACACTGCAAGACACTCAATCCGCGAGTCGAGCTGGCGAGCGAGCACACACGCGAGTGGTATCACCACCTTTGCTGATACATTAGAAATGAGCGAATTTACAAATAAGGCGGCGATCTTTCCGTCCTTATTTGGACAAGACGCAAACATGTGCGAGAGTTTCAAAACAGAAAAGAAAGCCGGAAGGCGTTTTGTTCGTGGACCGTCTCGCCGTTTGATGCTGGGATGAAAGCCTGTTCCGCGAAGGGCGGGAAGATTCACAAGAGAGGTCTTGACGAGAGTTTAGCATGTTAAAATACGTGGCGAGAATTTAAAAGGCGGCCTGTTTGTACAGCACAGGCAGTAAAACGAGAGGATTTATGGCGGATATATGAATTTTCATGCGCGCCGTCAAGACGGTATTGTTTTGAATTTTAGGTCAAACGACAGATGTGCTGCCAAACGTTTGCGAAACTCATTAGGGAAAATTTTCTGCAAAGCGAATTTCAATGAAAGCTCATTACCTTATTTTTCAATATAACAAATTAGAGCCTGAATTAGTTTAAAATGAAATTATGTATCAATAGATCTAAAAATCTGGAAAAAAGGTGAAAGCGCTAAAATGAAAAACAAATCAACATTTTAACTCTTCATTTATTTAAAAATTTAAAATCTTAAAAATTACGTTTGTTTTGATTTTTTTAGATATCCATGTGTTTCTTAAAAGTATTATTAAAATTATTAAAAATGAGCAAGACTGTTGAATATTGGGGGTGATTTCTAATTTAAATCTTTTAATTAGCCAAGTGAATTAATTTTTAAATATTTTGCATTTTTCCCAGACTTTATTTTTTAAACTTATTAAATACATTTTGCCAACACGTCTTAGCGTGCAGTTTTTCTTCTTCCAGTTGCAATATTATGCATAACGAGGCAAATTGTATTTACCTTGATATCAAGTTTTCTCTGGACAATAAAATTAAAGAAAAATAAAAATAATATACCGCCTGTGTAATTCAAACAAATCGTTCTTAATTTATAAGAAACAAGCAGACAAATTGTTACAGATTTTGACATCCCAGCAGGTGAGCTAAATTTGATACCGATTCATTTATGTTAAAATTGCCTCCGGCCTTGCTCTCGTGTAAGCTAAACGGCTTTGGGATTACGTGCACTTGAGTGTTGTTGTGACTGTGAGGTAAAAAGTGCACAAGTTTGATCGGCGGCATCGCTAAACAAGGTCTTGACGTACTGTCACTTTTTCCTTCAACAGGCATTCAAGTTGAAAACAACAAAATTTCGCATCAACTTTGCTCCCTTATTTTTATATTTGTTTCAACTCACGTCCAAATGTTTCAGTTTCTGTATCAACTTTAAAATAAATAAAAAGCTCTCCTTGAAAATTCTGCCGGGTTTGCAGAACAGCGAGGCAACGTTGATTGAATTCGCAATTTTTCCGCAAGGAGCTCGACTTGCTTTCGCGAACTAAAGAATTATATATACTTTATGTGCCTTGAAGGGAACATACCCGAGTTGGTACAACTTTAGAATTTCAAGCAACTGCAGAGCAAACATGTCTGCGGGTATATAAACTTGGCAAGTGAGTGCCAAACTGCAGCATCCGAACGATTGAACTCCCTCGCAATTCTGAATGAACTCAAAATGGCCTTGGGTTTCGCGTGAAATATGGGATCCTTTTCGCCAGGTTTCAACCTGTCTAGCAGGTTGCTGAGTGGGAAAGTCACCTGACTTTGTTAGAGGTCTTTCAAATAATTATTATGTAATAATAGGAATATGCAAAAACCAGTTTTGGGAGGAAAACAGAGTAAACTGCCTTGGCCACAGGAATTTTTTGAGCGTCCATTTAGCCAAAGTACCTTGATTTTGAATTAATTTGCGATTAAAATGATTTTTCACATGAATAAATTATGTTGAAGGGCGTTTCAAAAGTTTCATACAAAATACAGTGGGATTCATTGGGATTTCACTAAAATCATTTTAGTTAGAGCATTAGTGGTTAGAACCACAAAATGTTTGGTTCAATTAAACGCTTAACCAACTACAAAAAACTGAAACTACAATTAAAATAATGTTTATCATAAGTAAAAAATTTGCTTAGACTTTAAAAAAAAACAGTAATAGATTTAAATTATCATATTATGAATATTACTTGTTGCTTTCTAAATTATCATATTCTAAGTAGTCAAAATTAATCATTTTTAAAACAAACCAAATTTTTTTAATAAGTTATATTGAATTAAGTAACTTAAATAATTTTTGTCTAATGTTTAGCTCCAGACTAAAATTTAGTGAGACCTTTTCCTGTTTATTTATATTTCATTTTTTTTTTAAATTTATTCAAAGAGGGTGATATATTTAATAGGCTGAAAAATAGACAAAAATGAAAAATTACTTACAGGAATTTCATTGGACAGACTTTCCATACTGGCAAAGGCGCTGTAGATTTTCGCCTTGCTTTTCTTCTTCTTTTTCTTCGAGGGTTTCGCGGAGGCGACTGACTTGCAGTTGGACTGCTGCTGGGCCTTGACGGCAGCGGCCCTTTTAGACGTGCACCCGCCCATAGGTTAGCCTCCTCGGGTGGCCTGAAAGAAATCAAATTCGCAATGAATATTATAGCAAAACTAGCGAGAAGGAAGAACTGGACTCGGGCCAGTGACGGACTGCGAGTTGTTATTTTAATTTTTAATTCACCAACACCAACATATGCAGAGGGCGGTGTGCTTTAGGTAGATGACAAAACCGCAGACACTTTGAATGATGCTGATTCATTTGGGCAAACAATAAAAATACTGCAGTGCACAATAGAAAAGGTGCCGTAAAAATAGGAGCGGTCTGGGTTTTTCAATGTGGGTGGCATCCACGGATGCTGCGATTCGCAGCGCACCTACGATTATTCGGAGCAAATTAATTTAAAATTCAACCCCTGGGCGATGAGAATCGCACACTGACACGAGTGACACGTTTAAAATTCTTGTTTAATTAAATTAAACTCCCACACATAAAATAAATTTGCACGCAAGATCATCGTGAGGCGTCGCGGATTGCGTCAGGATCAAAAATAGTCGAGGAAATGCGAGACAGGCTTAATTATTGTGACATTTTTTGCACGCACTGCTGATTTCAGCTGATAACAGGAGAAAACATGCAGCTCCTCTGCATTCTTAATGAGATGTTTTTCGCACAGATGATACACGCACCTGCAGACATAGGCTCACAATTCCGGCATATCGATCGTGTTTTTCTTGCCACCGCTGACTGGGAAGAATTTGCACCTCCGGACGACGTACAATTCCACGATTCGCAAGACACCTTTTGTTTATACTTGCATCACTGGCAGTCGAACAAGATAACAGCAAGCCTCGTCTTCTGTCATTCCTTCAAGAAGTTTCAGCCCTAGTTCCAAAAACGGCCGCACAGATTAGCGCTGAAAAATCCATAAGAATGACGGCGCTCTTGTCGTCACTGATGCTGCCCTCTGTTGGTGATTTTAAAATTCATTCTTGTTGTTTGGCGATTTTCCATCATGAAGTAAGTGTGACACGTGAATTTTCGATTTAAATCTCAATTTATCGGCGCCATCGGCCGTCGTTCGGCAGCGATTTTTCTACCCACTTGTTCGGCAATGTCTAAAGTGCCCTTTTTCTCATTTCAGGATCGGTCTGTGCTCCTATTCTGGGTACAAAATCTACCCCGGCCATGGCAAGACCATGGTCAAAGCCGACGGAAAAGTAAGTTAAAATATTCAAATTTTTTTAATTTTTGACCTGAAATATTTGTCCTGGTCATCAGGTTTTCACCTTCCTCAATTCCAAGTGCGAGTCATCACAATTGATGAAGAGGAATCCCCGTAAGGTCACATGGACCGTGTTGTACAGGTATGTGTTTACATCTGGTGTGTGTTTACGTTTGACTAATTCAGTGACTTTCGTCCAGGCGGAAACACAAGAAGGGTCAGGAGGAGGAACAGACCAAGAAGAGAACCCGCAGAACGCAAAAGTTCCAGAGGGCCATCGTCGGTGCCTCTCTTTCTGATATTTTGGCCAAGAGGAACATGAAGCCTGAAGTCAGGAAAGCGCAGCGTGATCAGGCCATCAAGTGAGTTTCAAATTTTGAGCATTTCTATCCATGAATATTATTCAGAATTCCACCCGTAAAATATGGTAATTATTTAAAGACATGGAAACATTACGAGCATTTTCGGGTGTTCTTGAAGGACAATTTTAAACTAAGCAGCGCTTTTTTGGTTAAATTTTCGGCTTTTTTTAATGTAAATTTGTTTCTTTAAAGAGAGTAAATTATTTAAAAATGATTTCACAGGGCTGCCAAGGATCAGAAGAAGGCCCAGAAGGCCACCAAAAAGGCCACCGCCCCTCCCAAAGCGAAGCAAGCACCCAAGAGCAAGGCTGCCAAGCCCCAGCAAAAGGCTGCTCCCAGGGTCGGAGGAAAGCGATAAGGCAAATAATTATTATAAGAAAATCAAACGTGGGTTTCAAAATTAACAAAGGTTTGTACACGAACCCGACTGTACATTTCTCACTGGAAAATAAACTGGACATTTTGACGCCCATGTTAAAAATAATGAACTATTTTTATGAAAATACCGGAACTCTTTATTAAATAGCTTAATTATATAAAAATGCCTCCAGTCGATAATCTCAGCTTACAAGTTGCCCATTTCTGCATGTAAATGAGCGCCCGGAGTTCATTCTTGTTGGGTACCACCTATCTTCTTTGTTTTTGATGAAGAGATGGATTTTTTCTTGCATTATGTCTCTGTCCGAGTAGGCACAAAGCATCTGCGGTCCTTGCTGAATGTGCTTCATGGCCTGTAATGTGATATGTTTTTTATTGAGGGCAATTTTTTAAGAATTAATTCTCACCAAATCTATGCACTTTCTCGTACAAATTCTGCGACCCTTGATCCCGTCTGGAATGTCCTCGTCAAGAGTTTCTTCAATTGGGTAGCTGAAGATACTATTTTCTTCCTCCCCCATCCTGAGGGCAGCTCCTTTCTGGACGGTTTGGCTCTCGAGGAAAACTCCGCAAGTGCAAGGCACTTCATAATCATTGCCATTATTGGTCTCATACACTTGTTCGTACCGAGCTCCATACTGTGCCCAGTTTGGGCTTCGCACAGAACTGCTTTAAAATTAAATCACAATTAATTTTTTGTGGTTCAAGTTTTTAAATTCTGGATAGTTATTCAAGTTAAAGCTTGTCACTCAAACTTACCCGTTAGCTAGAGAGGCGACCGCCGCAGTAAAAACCAAAATCGTCACGCTTGTCATTTTTTTAGTTAACTGGCTGTACATCAGCATGACAGCTTTATATATTCTGCTCACATTTGCTGAGGTAGTTATTATTTGCGCAAATTACATTTGTTTTGGTCTACTGCTCTATATTCCAGTTTTAATCAAAGATGGCACAGATCTAGAAATTTTGCTGAAACGCTTTTAATATTCCTACGAATTTTCAAAATTTACTGATACTGCAATAAGTCATCGGGATAACCGTAAATTTGGAAAAGAAGACACATTTCTGAATGAAGATCACACTTGAAATCTTTATTTAATGCAGAGATCAATAATTTATAAACTTAAGTAAAAGCAAAGTCTGAAGCTATAGTATTTCTTAAAAATAATGTAATATTTAAAATGGCATCTTATTCCACAATTAAATGCTAAGGTGTCAGATCAGTACAAAAATTAAATGTGTACAAATAATTTGAAATTAGAAAATCTGGGCAATGTTTGATCGTCTAAGTAAAAAAATTTGGTTTCTTGATATTTCTTTCTAATATTAAAAAATATAATTGACACAATCGACAAGAGAAAAGTAGATTATTACATTCTTTCTGCTGAGGGTGACATTTTCAGTAAAGTTTCACCACTTGCTTTACCGCCACTGTACAACTTCAGAATTTCCTTGCTGTAAAAAGTCACCATGCCCTCAACACTTGGAAAAGCCTAGAAACGAATTTTAAAGATTTTAATTCTAAAAACTAATTATCAAAAATAATATATTGACCTGTTCATTTTCCTTGAGCTTTCCCAAAGCATACAAGTCGTCAGCCCTCTTTCGAATCGGAATGTGGTAAATTCTTCCCTTGTGCATCACACTCAGGGTATAGACAGCATCCTTTTGCGACGATTTCCGAATCAGGAAACATCCGTCAAGTCCTGATAAAAAGTTCAAGTAAAATTAAAAAAAAACGCATTCAAATTGCTTACCGCAATCCTCCAGCAATTGAATCGCCTGCAGCCTCTCGATGCTGAAGAACCAGGGAGCTTTTTTGAGACTGTTGGCCGCGTTGACCGGCAGATCGGGTGCCAACGAACTGGGGATGGATGGCGGGGAGTTCTGTGGCGGCAGTTCAGGCAAAGGTCGCTGTAGCTGGCTGGGTGAACCAAGCTGTTGAATCTTGTGCCGGGGCATTGCTGGAGACAAACTGAGAGTCGTAGGCACCTTCATGCTGGGTGGTATTTTTTCTGAAAATTAAATATTTGAAATGAGCATATATTAAAAAAATCTGTAAATTTCAAAACATTTGTCCCATTTGAAATGATAATAATGTTGGTTTAACATAATTTGTGATAAAATTAATAATATTTTTTCAAAGCTTTTGTATAGCAAAAGGATTAATTTTTAAATATCCCTTTATAGTATTTTTATAAGCCTAAAATTTGGAGCAAAAAATCAGTTAGTAGCAATGAAGAGCCGCTCGTTTACCCGGGACACTCCTCGGTCGTCCCACCATGACCACGTAATGCGATCGGTTGTCCTGCAGAGACATACTGCGCCGCAAGTTTGCAAGACACCGGCCACCCCCTGGCATATTCACGTAATAGGGACTCGCATTCTGCAAAAGCCGACTTGGGTCCTCGGCAGGTCGTTTCGCGATTTTGACGAATCTTTTACCGACGCACGCTGCACTTGCCATCATGTTTCAGAAAGACTGAGGGCATTTAAAAGAATTGGGAGCAAACTAGGGGGTGGCCACCGCGCGGGAGGTCTTTTTACGGGTGTATTTTAATCTTTCTAGCTGCTCCGTGGGAACTGCGTAAGAGCTTTAAATTTGTTATTTTCATTCAAACCTCTATCCGACATTAACAAAAAATGAAAGATAAAATTACTCAAATGTTTTATATAAGTAGGAGTTTTTAATATTTGCTAATTTAAAATAAGATGAAAATTTTCAACCAACAAAATAAATCACTTAAGTTGCGATCAAAATTTGCAGATCTATTGACAGAATTACGTTTGAAGGAAAATAATTAATAAAGAAAAAATTTGATTTTGTTTTTACATTAATTATTTTCCTTGAAAATTAATTCTGTCAATAGATCTTCTGCAAATTTTTTCGCTGCTTAAAATTTATCGGGGACCACCCCATCTGACGTCGATGAATTAATTTTTGGGCCAAATATAATTTTTTATTTTTTTAAATTTGAGCAAGAAAAAATCGCTTTATATAGAAGAAAAAAATCAACAATATGTTTTAAATATTTTTTTATCGCTTAAATATATTTTTAGTAATTTAGTAATTCAATTGTAGTCCATCTTACGAAAACATGCTCAGCAAAAATTAACAGGGCTCACCAATCACTGAACCCCCGTACTCCTCGTGTAGTTGCAAGAGTCTACGAATCATGTTTCTAATCTGCTCTTTGGCCGCGACCACCAAGTCGACGCTCTCGGAGCCAATCCTCTGCAGCAGGTTCAGAAACACCGAACTCGTAACCCTGATCCAGTAGCAGCAGCAGCACCCTGACTCCTGCTGAAATCCTCAAATTTTCTCAAACCGCTCCGAAAAGCGAGGACGGATATATTTCTCCGCTTACTGAGTCGGCGGTCTGATAAGAAATGCGGCTGCCGGAGGACGAGACGCGCCTCAGGTTGTTAAGCGAGGCGGCTGCAGGACCATTGCAGGCGTTGTTGCATCGCATGGCGTCGCATCTTCACAGCATCTCGAACCACACTGCCGAACCCTTCCTTTCCCTTTCGAAGACACGCGGAGAGAAAAAGAGGCCGAGCACACATGCGACTTGGCAAAAAACGACTCAAAAAAACAATTCAAGTCGAGGAATACGTGACAGCTGCGATATAATAGTCTCTCTCTGTCTCTCATTGCAACTCGCCGACCGACCTCGCTTATTTACTTCATAGACAAATGGTAACCATAAGTTGTCACATATGCGAGCAAGGAGAAAAAACTACCCAAGGATTTGATGACAATTCACTTTTCAAGAAAAATCTTAACAATATGCTTAAAAAAAAATGATATTACCGATGGCGGCAACGGGTGGTTTGGTATTGGTACTCCAACTTGAAACTGGCAATTTGCTTGGTGTTGTCCCAAATGCATTTCCACTTGTAGATGTCAGTCTTAAGACGTTCTACATATACGAAAAATATTAAAGAATATAGAATTAAAATATATTATTTACCGATATCGCTGTTCCGGGATCATTTGAATCAGGAATTTTGTCTGAAAACAGAAAAATTCATGATTAATTAATTTAAATTTCCAGTGTAGCGTGCAGCGTGTATTTGAGTACGAGTATTTGACTCCTCTGAAAGATACATTTTAGAAATTTTGTGCCAAATTGAAATAATTTGTTTTCAAGTGACTTAAGATAAAGCATGTAACTTAATTAAATTTATTTAAATTTTGTTATGTTACTGGTTTAGTATTTTTTCTGGGGAAGGGGGTGGTAAAAAGATTTGTTTAATTAAAGCTGCAGTATTATGGAATTATTTTGGGAACAAAAGAAAGATGGATTTACCCATACCGGTTGGAGGAAGTGGCAACGCTCTCCTGTTAATTAGCAGATTTCCAGGTGTCTGTCCAGAGGGTTGCTCATAGTCTTCATCATCATCATTCGAATTATTAGAACTAGTCCAACTGGAGCCCTGTTGAAAGCAAATGCCAGTGTATTTGTAGAGAAATTAATTAAGATAAAAATTTCAAACCGGTTTCATAGTATCTGAAATTTCGTGAATCTCTGACCTCTTATCTGGGAGGCTCAATTTTTTTGGCCTTGGGGGAAGCGCTGGCTCCTGTGCATTAAATTTTAAATTTTAAAAATCAAGGTCTCTTTAAAAAAAAATTACCACAGTCTTATTTCCCAAATAAGAACTTTGCATATTGGCAGGGGAGGACAATTTCCTGTTGTTTGGCAGTTTTTGGTTCATTTCAGTGTCATTGAGTGGGTCCAAATAGCAACCTTCTTCGTCCTCCTCATCCTAAGTTACAAAATAAAAATTGTAAATATTTAGTTCCCCACAAAATAATTTATTAAATACCATTGATGGTGGTGGAATGGCTCCCATAACAGTCCTAAAAAAATATATATAATAATAACAATAAGAAAAATCATTATACTGATTTTAAAAATCTCAATAACTAAACCTGTCTGGGGGGAGGGGAAGTGGATCGAAACATATCTTATTGCCCTGCCGTGGTCTTGCTGGAAGCTCTGGTTTATCTTGTTTTCGAGGTGGCAACGGACCAGGCTATATTGCAAAAGAGGATTTAATTATTTTAAAAAAGCACACTAAAATTAATTCAGCTGATGAAGCGCCAAAACGTAAAGAAGGTGTTTTGTATATTAATAAATTGGAAAGGAAGCCTATTATAAGTAAATTTTAAAATAATTTCATTGAATTATCATCAGCAGACTAGGTGTGGTAAAATTGATGTCAATTATTTTGCGTATCCAGCAAAAGCAACTTTTTACAAATTTAAGCCTAATGAAGCCACAATGATTGATGCACACACAATTTTAGCACACCTTCTCTTGAATGGGGTTCATCGTGACGTAACTTTCCTGTGTATCATGAAACGAATTGTTTCCGTACTCGGCTTCCTGCTCCTCAAAGTCCGAACCCCAGGACTCAGTGTCGTCATTGTAGTACTCCTCGCCTTGCTCTCTTTCAAAAGCAGGGTGCTCAGTATTGATATAGTCCACTTGCTCGTCCTCCTGATCCACTGGTTCCGGTGACCTCATGCGTCCTCGAGTTTGGGGTGGCGCCGGGAAGCGCTCGCGAGAGTAATAGGCCATTGATTGATCTTGCACTCGAAAACTTTCAAGACAATTTTTAGTTCTAATTTTAAAAATGTATTTAATTTATTATATACTCTTCAGTTTGCTGGCGATCACCCTTAATTGAGGATATATACTTTTCTGGCGTGCTCTTCAAGTCACTTACTAGTTGCGCTAGCAATCTAGATAAATATCCGAAACTTTAATATGATTCTTAATAATTACTTAACTAACAGAAAGATAATTTTAAGAAATCCGAAATAACAAAGAAAATAAGAAAAAAAATGTATAAAAATAAAAATTATATGGTGAAGCTTACAATTTTTTGTTACCACATGAACAAGGAATTTTAACAGGAACTATACAAGGAAAAACTTAAAATGATTGAATGGAAATTTTCATGCAAACTGACTCGGATGGTAACATATCCAATTTAAGAAAAATATTTTTTTTCGTCTGGCTAAAGAACACAAAAATTTTAAAAATGCAATAATTGAATAAAGGCGAAAGTGTTAGAACAGTTAGAATAATATTCAGATTTAAAAATATTAAATATGGAAAAAAATGTACATTAATGTATTTTTTTTTTTACTTCCAAAAATCAAAATTATGGTAATGTAGTTTCTCTCCTACCTCACTTTGTTCATGCCAATATCCTTTTTCAGAGTTGATAAACTGACGTCATTGGAATCCTAAACCAAAAACGCGTTTCTCAACAATGAACAAAAGAGCCAAGCCCATAATATGTAAATATACTCCTACCAGTAATGTTTTGCCGTCGAATGCCCTGTTCGATATCAAATTGCAGCAGTCTGATAAGTTGTTCTGCAAATTTAATCAGAATATAAATTCCCTGCATATTAAATATTTGATAAGGCGCCAGCGGGGCGCTTCGTTGAATTAAAACAAATAAGGCCCTATTAAAGGATTAAGCAAAGCGGTTTGAAAAATTGCAAATACCTCTTTTAAAAACCGAACTACGTCGTCTGTGTTCCACTGATTGATTTTTCCAATGAGTTCGGCTCGAATGCTGAAAATGCCCTTAGCCATTTTCCTGATAGCGACCAACTTCTGTTCCTCGTTTGACTTCTGCAGCATGTTGAACCTTTACCGACCGCACTACTTCCTTACTTATATAGATGTGGTTTCCGACGATAAAGCCTCAAATTTACATTCAAAATAATTCTTAAAAAGTTAACTCAATATATGAATATTTAGTTCCGGCCAGCTGATTTTTTTTCGACTAGCTCGACACTCTCACTACACTCGACTCATCCGTCTGATTATTTGCTTCGAGCAGACTTTCACCTCTAGTATAGTTTACTGGTGCGCCGCGCGCTAATACGTTGGGTCAGCATTCTCGTCGTAATTTGTATTCCAGTGGCGTGGCCGTGGATTCCGAGCATGATTTCACTCCAGACCAGAAGAGACGCGAGCACCATCAATTTTTATTAAAATTATTATTGTTGTGTTCGCTCGTCGCAGAAAGATGGAGCATATTATCTACGTTTTGTACTAACCATAAAATAAAGGTTTTTTATGAAAGCCCCAACTGTAAAGTTCTCTCAAATTTTTTTCACGAATTACCGAATTAGTATACAAGAAGATTTTGCATACTAACAAAAATTAAATGTTTTTTTCAATTGTTTTTAATTATTTTTATTTATTTTTGTACTTAACAGTTACAGAGCAGTTTGATAGAAAAATTAAAAAAAAAATTATTGGCTGACATGAGTATTAAAGATGAACTAACTGGGCTTAAATGATACTTTTGTTCTAAATTCGCTCCAAATTTCATGCTGACAGTAAAGAACTCAATTAATTTTGGCTTTCTGACTGAAAATATGTGAGCCTCTGGTGAAACTATATATATAGCGATGTATTTGAAGAACATTTTTTCGCACAAAAAAGACTTCCTTCATACTTTACAGGACTATACCTCATGCCATTATAAATTTTGGGACCATAGAGTTTTTTTTTTTTTTTTTTTATTTATGATTCAGTTTAAAAATTTGAATGGAGTTCTATGATAAAAAAAAAAAAAACTTAAAATTTTCCTACACTTTAATTTTAATGCGGATGATAAGCTGTATGCTTCTTTTGATTGTATGAAATTTTATTGCCTGGTTTAAAAGCGCAATTTCATAAACTCCTTTTTTAATTTTTTGCACCATAACGATGGATTTTTGTGAGAAAAAAAATATTAATAATTCCTCTATCCTACGGAGATATAATAAAATCCATCCATGCTATCCCGGGAGGACATTCACAATAACGAACTTCCCCTTTTGCTTCCCTGTAAATTGTAATGAGCGTAGCGTGTAACGTCGCCCGTTTTGTTTTATCTAGCATGACTTGTTCTGAGAAGGGCTCACCATTAAGCATTAATTATTTGTCTTTCTTATCACTTTACCAGAAATTTACTTTTGAAGGGCCGGACGTGTGTTTTCTCTCTCATTATCTTCGCAATTTAGCCAACGAAAGCAGTATGTCGTACGTGGTACGTGTTTTCAAAAGTTTTATTTTGTAGAATAATGTTTCTTCGTACAAAGAAACTCGTGAATACGCGGTTTTCCATTTTTTTCGCTCTTTATTTACTACTCTTGCTTTGGTTCGTGGTTAGCCAGAAAAAAACATTCCTTCCAGCAGATTTGCCCTTGAATGAGCGTAACAGTGAATCAAGAAGTGAGCAAAATTATTAAAATAATTTTTTCAACTTAAAACGTTCAATAGACGCATCAGACTGGTTTCATCACTCTGAAGATGATCGTAAGATTAAAAAGTTGATTAATTTTATAATTTAAAGTTAACCCAACCCCACTCGTCAAAAGTAAAATGGATACAAACGCTTGCTCAGGACGACAAAGAGTTAATCAATTACGTGCGCCACCACGTATTGATTCCACCTGTTCCATTTGAGTTGAAATATAATTTAAGTCAGCCAAATCAACAGGATCCATCCATGGGACAGGCAGGTTGCATCAGAGACATCCTCGAAGACAAGGTAAATAAGTAACCAAGCTAAACAAGCGGCCGATCAAAAGAATAATTATGTAGCCTAAAATGATTTTTATATTGAGAAGATGTATGTCAATATTTTTAAAAAGCAAAATACCTTTAATTCCTTTTTTTTTCAAATATTGTAAAATATTTGTGTCCATGAAGTGTCCAAAAAGGCGGTTTTTAGTGTCATGCATGCATTATATAAAAATTGGAATTTTGAATCATTCGCAAAATACGTTTAGAGTAAAATTTGGAGTTAGTTAAATGAATTTTTGAATTATACTTTTTTTATCTAGACAATAAAAACATTTTTAAATCATAATAATATTCAACAGGAAGGTGGTTTTTTCGTGGAATGTGGTGCACTGGATGGAGAAACACGCTCAAACACTTTGTACTTTGAACGTTTTTTGAACTGGAAAGGACTTTTAGTTGAAGCGGATCCTGAAAACTTCAAACTTGTTTTGGCTAAAAATAGAAAAGCCTGGCTTGCACCCACTTGTTTGAGTTTAAAAAGAAAACCTTCGATTGTAATTTCATTTATTTTTTTAAAGCTATAATTATGACAAAGATTATTCTACCAGGTTAATTTTTACCAGGCGTCGAATCTAGGTAAAATTATGGGGTCTGAAGAAGAAACCGACTCGGTTAAATTTGTTAAAGTTCTGTGCATTCCATTCACAACGTTACTTTTGGCAACAGGAGTTAAAAGAATCGATTACTTCAGTCTGGATGTGGAGGGAAACGAGCTGGACGTTTTAAAAACGATTGATTTTTCTCGTTTTGATATAAGGGTAGGTAAAGTTAATTAATTCATAGATCGTCCACAGAGGAATATAACAATTTAAATAAATTATATTCTCTGTGTAGACTCTGTCCGTTGAATATCTACACGATAAAGAGGGGAAGAACGCTATAAGGAATTTTATGGAGGAAGCCGGCTACTCGGTTCACAGTGTAATTGTAAGGAGATTAAATCGAGCAAATGATTTTATTTTCATCAAAAATGGTCCGTACAGTTTCAACAAAAATAAATGTCATTAAAAAATTTTCCTACAGATTTTTTTTTTAGAAATTGCGTTTTTATATTTATAATTCATCACAAGAATAAAAAAATCTACTGGCTTAAAAATCTTGTGTCTTTTTTTATCAATAAAATTCCCTATTTTTTTTTTTTTTTTTTTTAACAAACAACTGTTCCGCCTAAATTGAACGCTAACAATCAAGTTTGAAATTGGTCGATTAAAAGAAAATAACATTTTCTTTTTGCACAGAATCAAAGTACTTATTATAAAACAAAAATTCATAATTTAATTATTTTGTGCTAAACATAATGCATTTTCCTCTCCCGATTCGCGCCTTTCCACATTGTCTCACCTCTCGCGGCGGAGATGTAAACTAAACGTGTTTTGATTGCGATCACCCTGACCTAGAGGCATGGAAAGGACAATAAAATGCTGAGATTTGATTACAAATTGATGAAATAATTGGACATTTGGAGGCAACAACACAGGTAACATCTAAATTTGAATCGCTAATATAATTTTCAATTAAAAAATATCCAAACTCGATTGATACGACTGTGATATCAGTCAAATTCAGGAAGAAATTTTTGTGACATAAATTTTTATCAACAGGCGGTCGATGGAAAGCGTGAACGAGCAGTTCTTGGCCGACACGCCGAAAAATCTGCCCTTCTGCCGAAGTCGGTCGGTGGGTCTGCGTCGGCGAGCGATGATGGCACCTTCAACCTCAACACCGTTGACCAACACCAAGGCAAAAGAGCCTCTCGCACCGATCGAGAATAACCAGAACGAGCAAGATTTAGACGAAACCCAAAAATCTGACGGTCGAATCGTGTTTGATTATTTTTAAATTTTATTGAATTCGAATATTTAATTGCAGAGCCGTCGTTCTTGATGACAAGCACAGACTGGGATCTGTTGGAAGCCGAGGCAATTAATAAAAGCAAGCAGCCGAGAGACACTTTGGCCGCCTTGGACGACGCCTCTTATCTCTCAGTTTCCAGTTCCATGTTGACCCCTGGCGAAGGTCTGAAACCTCTGGAGGTTGATGACCTCAATACCCTGGAAAGATGCATTCTTCTGCCAGCGGAGGGAACAAAACCGGAGGTAAATAATATATGAGCATAAAATGCACATAAGGGGAAGTTTCGGAGGTTTACATTTAAAATTTTACTGATTTATTTTCTTTACCAAACGTGGATTTATTCAGAACAAGTTGATTTTTTTTTTAATTATTGCACTTGAGAACTCATAATGTTAATATTTTTATTTTTAAATCTGAGGATGTAAAGTTTCGAACAGAGATCCAATTTTTTTATCAATGGTATTTTAATTTACATTAATGAATTGTATTTTTCGATGGATCCATCTAGAAAGAATTTAATAATTCACACTTTCTATTGCAGTTTGAGTCGCCAGAATCCTGCTCATCATCATCTCAGAAGCCACAAAAAGCAGCCTCATTGGTAGTTCCTAAAAAACTCTTCGACGAAGATGCCTCAAGCCTTGACGATTTAGAACTTAGGAAGTCCCCCGTCATAACCTACAAACGCCGCTTTCCTCAGCGAAGAGACAGCGCTTTGCTGAAAAAACCAAAACCCTGTCCCACTGTCGAAGCTCCTCAACCCTCAATGTGCAGCACACCCATAGCTTCGAAATCTGTTGCCGTCTTCGAGGAGCCTTCGGTTGTCAATAATGAGAGCGAGGAGGAGGACAGTCTGCTGTTTGAACTCTGTGATGAGATTGAAAAATCTGTACAAAGAGAGAAGAGTTTAAAAGAAAGTTATGCCAGTAAAAAGGAGCAAAAGAAACAAGACCCGAATTCCAGCATCAAGATTTTCGGTGGCTTTAGCACGGCCAGCGGGGCAAAAATTGCCGTGTCGGAGAGTTCGACTAAGGCTGCTGAAACTTTGCTGGCCATGTTTTTGGAAGAGGATATTCCAGATGAATGATTTTAAACCGAGATAATACCTCAGAGAAATAGGGACTGAAAAAAACATTTATTTTCATTTATTACAGAAAAAAATATCCTTACAAGCAGTGTGAATAATTGTAAAATTGTAACAGAGTTACTCTTATTATATAAATAATGTTAATTACATTGAACCATTTATTTTGAAAATTTGTGATGTGATGTAATAAAAATAGGTTTAGTTGTGTAATGCAATTTTCCCCCTTTTTCTTAAAAAATAATACAAGCAAGATTTTTATCGCTATCATTAATATTATCAATTATTATATAAATGATTTTTTGGTAGTTTCATAAAATTTAATCTTTATGCATAATATTAATATATAATCTATAGGCCAAATGGGGTTTTTTGAGATGATTTCCTTGCCGCCAAAATTAAGTGGACGGAGAATTTGTCACGCCCCTTTTCTGCAGCTGTGTTTGTTGATGTTCTGCGTTGGTCTCGGTCTCCTCACTTTGAAATAAGTTTTCTTCAGATTTCCCAAAAATCTAGTCCCTTAAATTAAAAAGAAAATCAATTTATTTGAAATGGGAAACAAGTCAACACACAACGCCGGCGATGAAGCGGCATTGGACTCGAGGGTGATCAAAATTTCCGAGTCTGTCGCCCACAGACTGTTGGTACCAAGAGAACCTCAAATTCGAACTATTGTCATCGAAGTAGGTTTTAGTGAATAACTTTTGAATTAATTTTACTCATGATTTTTTTTAATTGATTACAGTCTTCAGCGTCTGAGAGCGCCTCTTCTACTGCTCCTCCGAAGCCTTTCCGAAGAGACCCCAGTGTCATTGGAGAGGACGTGTACAATGTAGGCAAAAAATATTTTGCGCAAAATTTATTATTTTATAGTTAAAATATTTTGTTAAATGAATTTGTGAAAAATCCAATTGTTTATTCCGGTTTATTCATACTAATTTTTATTTTTCATCCCAGGAATTTGAAAAGCAAGACCGAATCAATGAACTGCAAATGGAGAGCCTGAGCAAAAAGCTTAAGGACGCAGCCAAAGCCTTTGACCAGCAGCCCATTGCCTCCGTGGCTGCTGCGAGCAAGTCATCGAGTGAGCTGGACAATGTCAGCAACTGTCTGCGTGGAAGCAACGGCGCCTCCCTTAATTGCCAAGCCGAAGTGGTCGAATTCGTCAGCTTTGTGGAAAATAACACTTACCCTGTGGCGGCCAATTGAATAGCAGATCGTCTCCAAAAAAATTGAGATAGCAGTAAAAATTCAGGTGATATTATTTAAAAATTAACTGGAAGTGTAAGGTGTAAATAAATATTGACAGTTTGTTGCAAATTTGGTATAATATTTAAAAAACACTTCATATAATTTTTTGCTTTCTAACTTTGAAATATAAAATTTTATTATAAAAAAATGTTGCAAAATTATTTAGAAACTATGTTGACTTAAAAATTTCTCAAAATTTCTAAGTTAAGCAAATTTAATACAAATAGATTTTAGCTGTGTGTAAGTACTTTTATAATTTTTGTAATGTTTTGAATCAAATTTTACATTTTTGTGATTTCTACTCAGACGGCGCAGCAGCGTCCGCTGGCTTTGCACCGTCTTTACTTCCAGTGTTGGCAAATCCTCCCAAGAACCCTCCGACCATGTTTCCAATGTCAAGACCGCCGAAGGCCGCCTGTTCTGCTGTTGGTGATGGAGTGGTCTCCTTTTCGGCCTCGTTGACCATTTTGTCAATGTCGACGTAATCAAATTCGGGGGTGGTAACAACTGGTCCCTTGGCAGTGGGCTTTACTGTGGGTGCCCCTCCAAAAGCTGGTGGCGCCCCAGGAGGACGCCAGGCCTGCTGTGGTGGCCCCTGTTGAGGCGGAGGGCCTACAACTGGTGGCCCTGCTTGCTGGGGTGGTTTGAACTGCGGGGGCGCCGCAACAGGAGGTACCACTGGAGGTGGAACAGGAGGCTTCACCACTGGGGGTGGCACGGCCGCCGGGGGTGGTTTGAACGGTGGAGGGGTGTTGACAACCTGGGGTTGGAATACAGGTGCCGGGGGCGGAGTGTTGACCACCGGAGGCGGCACGAAGACTGGAGGCCGGAATGGGGGTGGTGTGTTGGGAGGAGGCGTTGCTGCCGGCGCTTGCTGCGGAGGTGGAACAAAGACCGGGGGCCGGAAGGCTGGAGGGGTCATTGCTTGGATGGGGGGCTGCGTTATCACTGCGGCCGCGGGAATGCTGAATGTTGGGGGGATGAAAGGTTTAGGAGTGGGCCGAGGTGTCGTGGTTGTGGCTATAAAAAGATAACTTTTCTTAATTGAATAATTGATTAAGTCTAAATTGTTATACTTGTTCTTTCTGTTGTTGTTGTGGTTGTTGCTGAAATGAACATGCGTTTTTTTTTATTACTAATTTAATTAAATTTTTTATAAAAAATAATCAGCGGCCTTTTTAATCTAAAAAATTTGAATCAATTAGAGAATCGTGATGGGACCTTTAATTATTATGTTACTGATTTAATTAAGATGTGTTATTAATGATTTTACTTACTTTCTAGGACACTTTTGATCGCGTTCGAAGCAACAGCAGTGGTCTTATCTTCATCAAAATTGATGTCCACTGCTTCCTCCTTGGGAGTGTTGACTACTGGTGGCTTGGTAGTGATAATTATCGGCTTAATGGTCGGATTCACTACTGGCTTTGCAGGAACCGCGGCAGGCTTCACTGCGGGTTTGGCTGGAGGCTTTGCTACAGGCTTTGGTATCGAGTTAGAAGCAGGCTTGGCGCCTGTTTTAACACCTGGATTTCCAGCCACAGGCTTTCGTACAACAGACCCAGACTTAGCCACTACTGAAGCACCAGGCTTGTTTGTTACAGTTTTGACGGCTGGCTTTGCGGCTTGAGGTTTTGCGGCTGGCTGGGGCTTGGCTGCAGGCTTCGGTATAGCCTGAGATGCCGGCTTTGCTGCTGGCTTTGCTGCTGATGGCTTTGCTGCCGGTTTTGCGGCTGGCTTTGCTGGAGCCTTTGGAACTGGTTTGATTGGCAGCGGCTTGTTTGCGGCTGGTTTGGCTGCAGGTATAGCTTTAGCGGCCGGTTTGGCTGCAGGTAAAGCTTTAGCGGCCGGTTTGGCTGCAGGTAAAGCTTTAGCGGCCGATTTGGCTGCAGGTAAAGCTTTAGCGGCAGGTTTTGCGGCTGACTTTGCTGCAGGTATAGGAGCTGCTTTAGCGGCTGGTTTTGCTGCAGGTTTTGCGGCAGGTTTAGCGGCTGCTGGCTTTGCGGCTGTTTTTGCTGCAGGTTTAGCGGCTGGCTTTCCTGCGGGTTTAGCAGCAGCTTTTGGAGCCACTTTGGAGGCTGCCGGCTTTGCTCCTGCTTGAACCATCGCCTCCAATTTAACTGGCGCTTGGGTTGTTGAAGAATCGTCCTCGTATTCTGCATCATCACCTCCTGCTTCAGGGGGATCGTCAGTGGGGCTATCGTTTTTCTCCACTTGATCATAGATGTCATATTGCTTTTTCTCATTCTTCACAACTGCCTTGGTCGTGGTCGTCTTAGCGGATTTAGCGTCATCTTCATCAGGACCATTTAACTCAGGGTATACCTTTGTGTACATATCCTGACAATTTTGATTGCAGCATTTTATAATGAATGCTCTACTTGCCCTTTTTTCTGCATCTGAAATTTTATAAAAATAAATACAAGTCATTTAATGGTTAATTATATTAATTTCTTTGACAAAAAAAGTTAAATGATACTTTTCAATTATTATAATTTTAATTTAACTAAAAATTCATCAATATTGACATAATTTATTTGTTTTCTTCTTTCAATTGTTAAAATAATACAGCACTAAAAAGACACCATCTTACGTCGTCGTAGTCGTTGGATAGTTTCCGCCGTGATATTGACGTCAAGCGGTGCGGCATGTGACTGGAAAATTTGCGTTACTGTTATCAAATTTTTCAAAATGTACCCATTAGGGTACCTGTTTTGAATAACTCAATGCTCCAGTTTACCTGACTAAATCCTAATCCTACAACTACCACTAAAAGCCAATGCTGGAGCAGCATTTTGCCACTACATCTCCTTCTTTTTAGCTGGAACTTTGAATTCAATGATAACAGGCAAGGCGCTCTGCTCGATCCTGCGGGTTTTACACATAAACTGGAAATGGCGCACAGGAAGGGAATGGCCAGCGACGCAGCGACCTTGTCCTGAAATGATGCTTCCTCCGCATGTAACTTTTGTTTTTTGCTGCAGTCCTTCATCGAACTATATTTACAAAAATTTGAAATTTAATTCACACTCAATTTTATTTTATCCCAATTTATATTTAGTGCTTCTCTCTAGAAAATTAAAAATCGTGCGTCATTTTAAAAAATTTAATGCTTTTATTCATATTTTTTTTTTTGCAGAAAAAATTATAATAGTTTGGAGATTGGAAGCAAACAATTTTTTTTTCATTTATGGAAACATGAAAATATAAATATAATACGCGTGGTAGTGTCGTAGTGGTATTTTAATATTTTGCATGTCAGAAGAAATTCCATCGAACTGTTCATACACTTATGCCAAAAATAATTTGCAAATCTTATCGCATTGGAAGATGCTCTCACACTAAACAAGATCATGGTAGGAACAATGTTGACAGATTTTTTTTCTTGCATAATATTACATAAGTACAATTTTCTTTTTATGTCCTCCTTTAAAATGAAAATATCACGCTTGACGTATTAAAATAAATGTGTGTGTGGTTACATTCTTTGTTCTTAAAAACTAAAAATTAGCAAAATATTTCACTTTTCGCTCATTTCTTTTTATCAGCTAATGGAAAGTATTGTTGCTGAACATGCAAGTTGCGAGATGAAACTTTTTTCTCGTATGATAAAAGAAACGTAAAATACAACATCACATTTAAGTACAGAATAGCATGAAAGTTGTTTCCACTAATTTTAAAATCGAGAATTGGGCGGAAATAGTCCAAGTGGCAAGAATTGTATGCACCAATTGTCACGGCAAAAATTTCCCTTTGGCAAAGAAGTGAGAAACAAACTCTTATTGCCTTTGGAATTAATTGAAGAGTCCAATGTCATAGTGTTAGATTTCAATTGTAAGTACGTACTAAAAATAGAAATTTTGAGCTTAAAATTAGCTAGACTGAGCGGAAAAAGATATATGTCTGGGATCGTTTGAAGCATGAATCCAAATGGATTTGAGCTCTTTATAACCCAACAAGAGCCTTTAAATTTCACAAAATCAATTTTTTTTTTTTAAAGTCAATCCATTGCACTCAATTAAAAAATAAAAGGATAATTTGATATATCCTGGCAATAGATCCACGTTTCAAATGATCCATAGTTTATCAATAATTGTACAACCATAACCTGTCTCGTCATTTGATCACTCAAGACGTCAGTAAGCAATCACATAATTTTGATTAAACACCACCGAATAAAAAAATATGGTCTTCCCCGTGTCTCGTACTCTGCTCAACAGATGCGTCAAACTGAATTTCCAGTGCCAAGAATACTCAAAATCGCGGTAAAAACGCTTTCGATCGAATCAAGTTGGCGAGTTGTGCTGCTGTTCGGAGCTGGTTGCATTTTCACCATTCTCCTCATCGTACTTGTCTTGACAGGCGCGGCACTTGCAGCAAACGATGCAGGGTGCGGCCAGCAGCAGCAGTGGTGACGCCACCAGTAGAAGGATGCCGAAGCCTGCAAATATGGCGATCACTTGCGTTCTGTGCCAAATGACTGAAGCTCTAGAGTGGCCCAGTTTGTTTTTGCAAGGGCCTTTGTCATAGTGGCGCAAGAGGAAATCGTCCTACAAATATTTTGTTTATTAAACATCTTGTTAAAAAAAATTAGACTTTTAATTTGGCAAAATAAACAAAAGCCATCCTTACATCAAGCGAAGCCAGGCAGTACCAACAGAAGACGTGCTTGCATCTTTTGCACATCATCTGAGCGCAGCCTTCGTCTTTCTCAATCGGCACTTTGCACATGGGACAGTGCTTGATTCGTTCAGGGTCAAATATCAGAGAACCTTCACTTCTGAAATAAAGTATTGTGAGCAGATTATAAAATTTTGTGTTTCGGTTGCCTTACTTTTCAATACTGCATCCAGACTCTTGGTGCCACGGCTTCTTGCAGTTGGAGCAAAAAGTGTCACTGCAAGCTGGACAACTAATGCATTGCGGTTGGCAACCAGGGCAGACGGTGCAGATGGTTTCACAGCCAGCACGGGGGCACCATGTGCGCCCTGAGTCCATGTCAACTTCTGTAAAGAATTAAAGATGCGATTTAAAAATTAAATAAGCTTGAATTGATTGAATTTTTTAGAACAAATATTAATTTTTTAACAAGAACTAAGTCTTGTTTTCCACTTTTTCTGTCTCAACTCACCTTTGTCTAATCTGAACTTTCGGTGCTTTTCCATGAGATCTGTGCTAACTAGGGTTTCAATTTCTTGCAAAGTAAGAATGCCCTGCTTGTCGCAGGCTGCGTCTGGACAGGCAATGTCATAGGCTGCCTCTTGGACCTCCAATCCGACATACTGTTTCAAACACTAGAAAATTCAAATTTTTTCATTAGTTTTATATAACAAATTTAATAAAAAAAGATGTACCTCTGTGCAAAAGACGCACTGACACTGCTGCAAGGTGGTTGTCTGCGCAACAGGCACTTCCGTCAGGCAGATTTTGCAAAGGAGCATCTGCAGCGAGTTTGACGGCGACTCAATCACGGTGTTGATTGAGTAGCGTGAACTGAAGGTCATTGAAGCCATGCTCGAGCAACGAGAGCACTGCAGATTTCGAGATGAAGACATGCGAAGCCTGCAAATATAATACAGAATGAGAACTACATACATTTAATTGCATTAGGCAATTTTTTTTAACAAGCTTTGGACATTTTATGGTGGATTTTAGACAAGCAACCAATTGTTGGGACATAGAAATGAACTAAAATTTACTTTGATTTTTTTATGGGGCGTTGAAATCTGTTGTTTAAACCGCTTTCATATACCCATATAACAAACAATTATTTGAAATCAACCAAATCAACAATAAATTTTGTAACAATGCTATATTCTGGATCAATCTGCTACCGTTAAATAAAAAAAAATGTGGAATAATTTGTGGCGCTCAATGCTATATTACCTAAATCTGTAAGTTTAGGATGCACCAATTTATTTAAAATAATTAAAATTTAGCCTAATAATGTTTTTTCCCTATACATAGATGAATTAACAAACTTAAAAAAAAACGAATTGAAATTAAAATTTTGTTTTCCACAGAAAACTGAAGATTCAATTAATTTATTTAGAGTTCAATATAACACATGATTACGTCCGGTTCTATGTCAAAAGAAGAAATTAACATTTAGAACATTATTAATCAATTTTTTTTATGTAAACCGAGTTTCTTGGATAGTTGAAGTGAACAAGTGAAATTAAGTACCTGTTGACAGGTTTGATTGGCTCCAATGAGGACAATGCCATGACCGTCTCGCACTTCCTCATCGACAAACTGGACCTGCCAGTGTTGAGTGAGGGCCGCAGTCCAAGCAGCAGACTCCCGCAGGACGAGTCTCTCTTCATTGGACGCTGCAGAAGCAACAAATGTGAAAACAAAAAAATTTTATGAAAATATTCGTACCTTGGGCGAGGATAGCGAGGGGATGAGGACGGGCCGGGGGGCGATCAGTCTACTGGTGGGACCCGCTGGTGGCGACTCGTCGCCGGAACTGGGCGCCGGGGCGGCCTCTGCGTGGCCGCTGCTGCTGGCCGCAGAGCCCATGGCGATTTTGGCCGCTTTCAAAGGCTGCGGGGCTGCGGCTGGAGCGGCCGAGGGCGTCGACGAGACCAACGATCGGAAGCTGGGCATCACTAGATGCCTGCAAAATAGCACAAGTGAGGGATGAGTGGAATTTGAGGATTTAATTACTCCAGGGTTGGAATTCAGATAGGAAGAAAGAGAGAAATAAACATAGCAAAGATCTTTTGGGTGTAAAGGAAATCCTTTGGCTTTAATAATAGTGGCCGCAAAGTGTTTAGATGACCTAATTTGTGGTTCATGAGACACTTTATTGATTTTGTTATAACCATTTATTTTAATTCAAAAGGTTATTAATGATAAAATTATGGGATGAATTGTAAAATTTAAATTTAGACTTATGTTCTAATTAAAATTTCAAAGTATTTAATTATTTTATCGCTAAATATTGTCAGGATTCTATTTTTTTTTACTATTTTAACATCATCACTTGAACTGTTTTTACCAAAATGATAAATGCAACAAAATTTTTAATTCGTTTTTACTATTATCAATTCAATTATAAACAGAAAGAGCAACTAAAGATATCTGAGGGTAAATTGAAATGAGTAGGATTTTATTATTGAAAGAAATGAGAAATCAATTTGAGTAATTTCTTGTTAATGAAAGGCATTTAATAATTAAGCTCAGATCTCTCTTATTGTTAGGGAAGAACGTGTGATGAAAAAATGCAAGATCACGACTTTTGGAAAGTTTGTGTCCTACAGGTGCACCTGCCTGACGACTTTTCCACTTTGAATTTGAATGACACCGAGTCCGTTGATTTTTGTCGTTGTTCGGCTTTGCCAATTAATTTTTGTGTTACCTGCGCGTCTCGCGGCTGACGACGGGCGACTTTTGCAGCAGGTTGAGCGACTCGCCCGTGTCCAAGGGACGATTGCACGCCGAGAACATGGCCTGTTCACACAGCCAGAGAATGCAGTTTAAAATTGGCCCTCGCGGTTTTCTACAATAGCTCTAGCTACAAACCAACTGGCTGCTCTACCGCGGCTCGGAGCAAAAATAAATGCATTGTCGAGATAAGTGGATACGGACGACATGCAAGAAAGAACTAATTTCAAAATGGCATACTTGTTCATTGCGACAATAATTTTCCGCACGATGCAAACAAAAGATAAGAATTTGTCACGTGACTAATAATTGTAAATCTTGTTCAAAATAAAAATATAAACTAATTTTACAAATTAAAAAATTATCATGCGTATGATATTTATGTTTGTGCGAACATTTTCAGGTGAAAATCGATCAAAATTTGAGGTATGCTCTTCATAATTTGCACACAATACAAAATGCTGGTGCTTTTGCAAGGTTGATTTGCATTTAATATTCGAGTTATGCAGATCGTTGCGTCAAGCGTACTCACAGGTGAAAAAATGAGAGCAAGGTTTTTCAAGCACTTTAAATTTAGTTGGATTGCATTATTGTATAATCTGTAATATTTGAAACTTTTTAATCAATAGAATGAATTTTACTATCAATAAACTCATTTAAAAATCATAACACAATTTTTAGAAATAATATGAAATTTGTGACTGTTTAAAAAAAAAATTATGAAAGCCTTCATTTCAAATTGAAAATTTCAATCAAGCACAAAAAAATAAATTTTTTATTAATATAGAATTTTTAAACAAAGAAAAATCCAATTTTCTTCACTCCCCAGAAAATAATTTGTGTTTAAACTGATATTAAAATATTTTATATGTGAATATTTAGCTTTTTGAAATTGAAATTTAGGTGTGTTTGTAATGAATCCCTGACATTGAATTGCAAACTCAAAGCCAGGTGAACGAACTGCTCAACAAGCTGGTTGCACAAGCAAACAGATTGTGGGGCGAGCGAGTCATTTTACTTCTTCTCATTTATTTCAGCCGATCGTGGTTGCTCGCTCACCGACGCGGAAGCTGCGTTTCTTATTATTTTCTGTGTATTTATTTCGCATCAGAAGAATTACGAGCCTTTCCAACATTCAAATGAGCTGCAGCTGCGAACGTGCCGCTGAGTCTGGCTAAATTCAGCCAAGCAACAAGTTCGCGGCAAACTCATCGATCGCATTCATGCGATTTGTACACACAGGCATGGCGCCTTAAATCCCATTACAGAGTTCAGAAAAATCAGCACAATTCTCTAGAAAAACGTGGATTAAACCGACACACATAGCCAGTAAAGGTCCTTAAAGTGTTGATGCAGCTCTTTTAACAAATTTAATCGCTTTTTATCTAAATATTGAAGCGGTGCGAGCTATAATTTGATTATTTTCACCATTTTTTCTTACAAAATTTTAATTGTGATTTGAATTAGGGGTCCGCTTTCCCTTTATGAGTTTTTTTTAGTCGTTTACTGCTGAAGAAAAAACATATCCTGCTATACACATTTTTATTCTTAAACAATTAACAACTCACAAAACTCTAGAACAAAAGCTAACTCTAAATATCATCATTAATCACGCTCGATCGTGAAATTCTAGCACAAAAGTTTTGAACTAGTAGTTTAAAAATTAAATACATCCTTCTTTTGTACAGTACAGAGAAGTGATTGTAAATGGAAGGTATGTACATAAGTTTACTTTAAAATTGTTTTAATACTGCCTTAAAAAAAATTCCCCAATGCAACTAATAGCAAAATACAAACTTCAGATGGATGGATAATTGTCAATAATTTAATAGAAACGAAATAAAAACAATTTTTTTTAATCATAAGCAAGAAAATAATTGTAAAAATTATACTGCAAATTGTCTTGATGAATATATCATTCAAGACTAGTTGTAGCAACTTGTAAGGCTGCGCATTCCACGTCTGCATTTAACTAACAATAGCTTTTATTATCTCCAAACGCATCTGCAGGCGTCTCGGCGCGACCGGCGCCTGCATCCAGAAACACGAGCAGCAAAAGAGCTCAAAAAGGTCAAAGGTCTCGGCGGCATTATTGTCCGCGACGCTGGAGCACCTTAAAGAGGCCGCCGACAACGCCACCCAACTTGAATATGTTTGAGAGAGAGGACTCTTGAATTTTAAATGATTTCACCATTCTTGTTCGGCTTTCAAAGAAAGAAAAATAGCTGCTGAATCTGGAATTATGTTTCGGCCACGCGAACTATTACTTAATTCTCCAGCAGTAAAATGATTTTATTCGTGGCGTGAGGAAAAAAGTGAAATAATAAAGGACCTTGTTGAATCATTATTAATCCAAGACGGTAATTTATAGAAAAAAAGATTACAGTTTAAAAAAATAATCAAAACGAATAAAATTTGCCAAATTTAGATTGAATAGAAAATAAATATCTTCATAAACTCACAATTTGAAAATTTTTATAATAATATATTCCCAAACAGTGTAAAAGTTTAATATTAATAATTTAATTTATAAATTAAATTTACACTTGATGACGTAAAGTGCCTTAATCCTACTTTTTTACCGTTAAATTCGGTTAAACTAGACATTTCTTCCCTAAAATGACATAAAAATTTTAAGTGATCAATTTCAATTTTATTGAAAATTCTGTACGTATAAATCAGAAACCGTACAGCAAATTTGTGAAGCACCTCGCACTTGCTCGAATCATAGCCTTTGTGCGGAGAACAAAGCGGGGCACGCGAAACACACACATGCAGGTGTGTTAATAATAGGCCGCGAATTAAGTTGTTTCCCGTGTCTTTTTGTTCCATCGACGTGTGCGTGTGACAAACAAGAGCGTGTGCGCGCATTCAATGCTTCCATACGCCACGGACACGAGCCGCGCAATTTATAGCTGATGGCCTTTTATGCTCATTCTCGGAAACGCAGAAACAACATCTCTAGCAAAGTTGCTCTCGACACCTATTCATCAGGCGGCGTTGAGAGAGTTCTACTGTTTATTTGTTTATCCTCGACTTAATTCATTCAAAGTTGATGATAAATATTGCTGCACGAGTGCAACCGGACTTTTGCGCGTCTCTCTCGGCTTTTCTCACAAAGATTTCCCACACTGATTTCAAATAACACCAAGGCCGCTTTTTTAAATTACAAATTATTTACTTCCCGATCCACTTTCTGATGCAGATCGACGGAAAAATATTCAGAATGGTATTAGAGATTGGAAAATTAATTTGGTTTATTTTACAATTCGTTAATCATTGCGAGAACTGGCGAGAACTAAATTTAATAATAACAAAAAAAAAAAAATTCAAATTGGAATTGAGCCAAAGCAAGTCACATACATTGTATAGGAACAACAACCTCATTGTTAAGTTTCATGGGCCTTTCTGGATTGAAAGAGGCTTAAACAAAAGGGATTTTAAATTTTCCTCATATTGAAGTTATTTATAGCTTAAATTTTCCAAGGGCTATAGTTGGCAAAATAATCCACAAGAAGAGATACGATAAATAAAAATTGCATGTCAAGTAGAAAATACAAAGCTGATACAAACTGAATTAATATTTCACAATTTAGCTCACGTGGTTTTCATTTCAAAATTTTTGGAAGAACAAACAATGAATATTTATCAATGAGATTTTAATATAAAACATCTATCTAATTTTCATCTTTTTTTTTCTCGTCAAATGTGCAAAATATAATCAAATTTATGAAGATAAAATTTTAGCTGACTATTATGATTTTGATTCATCCATAAGTAATCGGTCTTCATTATTTTATACCGTTTATTTTGAAGAATTATTTCTCCGCGGTGAAAGAAGGTTCAAGACTTTGATTAAAGCAAGCCAACAAAGTATAATTAAACGGGCCGATGACTAACTTAATACTAAAATAACCTACATTTTCTATTCCTTCTTTTGAGAAGTTGGCAACTATTAATATTCATGTGTGGCAAAAAATACAGGAATATTTATTTTTTCTTTCAGATATAACTAATTATTACGTAAACACCAATATCAAGGGAATATTCCCATGGATACATAATTGATTCCATTCATTTCCGCAATATAACAAAACAAGTATTGTAACCTTCAATGTATTATTGTTTCCAATACATATTAATTGAGTATATTAAAATCATGTCTGAATTCGTCATGACGCTATCTGTGCTGAAAAATTAGAGGAAAATTAGTAAGAAATATCCCTCCATTTATGGTGGTTTTTGTGCTTGAAATTTCTTCCGGTCATTCAAACGAACCGTCTCGCATCCTAAAATAGTGCCGTGTTTTTGCAAGATCATCGGCCTCACACAGTGCGGTGCAGCCACTCGAGCGAAAATTCGCATCCACGGTGACTGGCCGGGTTCGAGAGCCGCTCGCAAGAGCATTGGCTCTTCTTTCCTCTCCGTACACCATTATCCGCAATTAATTTTCGCCCACGTCCGCAGCCGGGGTGCGTGTATTTTAAGCTCTGTTTCTGCTCGCAAGTCAGCTTCCCCCTCAATGCATTTCCATGAGCTTGAAATAAATCCAATAAGTACAACGGGCTTGTGAAAGACTTACAAGGTTTTCTATAAATATGATCATCTCTGTTTTCACGAAGATGTGCTGCAGTTTTCCGCAGAAATTTTATCTCAAATGCGATATATTTTGGTGGCGACTGGCGACACGTGATCCGCGACTGGAAAGACTGGTTCGCAGCTGAGTGCGTGGATTTCGCGAACCCAAACACGAGCTGGCCCTGTGATTTTTGCGCAAAGGCAGCGTCGTTGTGAAATTTTTAAGTACAAGTAGCGTTTTTTCTCATCTGATAATAATTTAAGCCGGCCTGATTTTCTTTCAACATCAATTTTAGAGAATCTCGTTTTGTCATGTGATGCTTTTAAGTGTTTTTTTAGTTTCTCTGAAAATTCAAATCTAAATAATAGAAAAATTGACATTTTTGACATTTATTTCGCTGATCCTAATGTATTCATAAAACTCCCTTTTTTAACATTTTAACTTTGAATAAATTTTTTCACAGAACAGAAAGCAAAGTATTACACAA